GGCTGGAGGTGCTGAGCCTGAGGGTGCTGCTGCTAGAGGCACTGAGGCTGGAGACCCTGGGACTGGAGGTGGCGGTTCTGGGGGTGCTGCTGTTGGTGGAGCTGGTCCTGGAGGAGCTGGCGCTGAGGGTTCTGGAGCTGCTGAGGGTGCTGGTGCTGGAGGTTCTGGAGCTGCTGGAGGTACTGGCGCTGGTGGCGCTGGAGTTGGAGGTTCTGGAGCTGCTGAGGGTGCTGGCGCTGGAGGTTCTAGAGCTGATGGAGGTGCTGGAGCTGCTGGGGGTACTGGAGCTGCTGGTGCTGGTGTCACTGCACAGCCGCGACTGTTCTTCGCTCCACCGTCTCCGTTGTCTCAGCCACCACCTGACTCTGTGCTTCGCCAGGTTCTTAGTCTCCCTTCGTCTACTGGTCTTCCGTTACAGCCTGGCTCACCGCTGCCTGCTCCTTCTCCTTACACTGAGCAGCTAGGGGGTCTTACTGAGCGTCGTGAGCCTACGTCGCGTCCTGTCTCGCCTGTCTGTTCTGGTCGTTCCAGTCGTCGTGTTCCTCGTCCGCGTCTGCCGGCTGTCCCCGACACCCACCTTGTAGTCCGTCGTCCTTCCTCTCCTCCGCATCGTGTTCCTCTGCCGTCCCCTCCTGCGTCTTCTCTGCATGTCGTTGCGGACCCCGAGTCTGACCGGTTTCGTGCTGAGCACCCTACTGTCACGCATCTACTAGCCACTGTTGTCACTGACCCGTCGTTTGAGTCTGCTGCTACGTCTGCCTTAGTTGCTGAGCTTGTTGACTTTGCTGCTGCCTGTCGTCTAGACTACGCCGCTAGTCTTGTTGCTGAGTCTGAGTCTGTCTGTCCTCCGTCCGTCGGGGGTGAGTGTGCTCTTGGCATGGACGTCCTTGAGGACAGGCAGGAGGACCTTGAGTGTCTTGCAGCCGCTGCGCCTCATCTCGTGTCCATGATGCTTGCCCCTGAGGGAGACTCGGATGCTCCAGACATCCCGACCCCGCGCTCTTACGCTGAGGCGATCGCGGGTGAGTACTCCTCTCAGTGGCAGACAGCCATGGACGCAGAGATGGCATCCTGGAAGTCCACAGGCACCTACGTCGACGAGGTTCCCCCACCTGGGGCGAACATCGTCAGTGGCATGTGGATTTTCAGGGTGAAGCGGCCGCCAGGTTCTCCGCCTGCCTTCAAGGCGCGTTACGTTGCACGAGGTTTCAGTCACCGAGAGGGAGTAGACTTCTTCCAGACCTTCTCCCCCACCCCGAAAATGACCACTCTTCGGGTGCTGCTGCACGTTGCCGCTCAGCGTGACTACGAGCTTCACTCTCTTGACTTCAGCACAGCCTTCTTACAGGGCAGCCTGCACGAGGAGATCTGGCTGCGCCGCCCACCTGGCTTCACTGGGTCGTTCCCTCCTGGTACCCAGTGGAGCCTCAGGCGGCCGGTCTACGGTCTCCGCCAGGCGCCACGTGAGTGGCACGACACACTGAGGACGACACTTGCGGCTCTTGGGTTTGCTCCGTCGACTGCTGACCCGTCGCTGTTTCTGCGCACCGACACATCGCTGCCGCCGTTCTACATCCTCGTGTACGTCGACGACTTGGTCTTTGCCATTGCTGACACTGAGGCTCTCGCCCTGGTGAAGTCGGAGCTGCAGAAGAGACACACGTGCACAGACCTGGGTGAGCTGACAAGCTATCTTGGCTTGCGGATCACCCGGGACAGAGCACGCCGCACCATCACCCTGACTCAGTCACACATGGTGCAGCAGGTCCTTCAGCGCTTCGGCTTCACCTGGTCCTCGGCACAGGCCACTCCTCTGGCTACAGGTCACTCGCTTTCAGCTCCACCTTCGGACGAGTCCGTAGAGCCGAGTGGTCCTTACCCAGTGCTAGTGGGCTGCCTCATGTACCTGATGACCTGCACTCGTCCTGACCTTGCGTACCCCCTTGGCCTTCTGGCTCGCTACGTGGCTCCTGGTCGGCACCGAAAGGTGCACATGGATGCTGCTAAGAGGGTACTACACTACTTGTGCAGTACATCGGGCATGGGGCTCGTGCTTGGAGGACGGAGCGACGTTGTCCTCACTGGGCACTCAGACGCTTCTTGGGTTGACGACCAGGCTACGCAGCGGTCGTCACAGGGTTACACCTTCAGCCTTGGCTCTGGTTCGGTTTCTTGGCGTTCTACACGCTCGTCTTCAGTTCTCAGCTCCAGTTGTGAGGCTGAGATCTACGCCACAGCCATGGCTGCACAGGAGTTACGCTGGCTCGCCTACCTGCTGACCGACTTGGGAGAGCGGCCTCGTTCTCCTCCAGTGCTGTACGTCGACAACAAGGCCGCCATTGCCTTGTGTCAGGAGCACAGACTGGAGCACAGAACGAAGCACATCGCTCTGCGTTACTTCCTGGCTCGAGAGTTGCAGCAGCGTGGTCAGCTTCGTCTTGCTCACATGGCCACTCGGGCCAACACTGCTGATATATTCACCAAGGCGCTTCCGTCTGGTGATCATCAGCGTTTCTGCACTCTGTTAGGCCTTGTGCCCACGTTTCCTCACTTGCTGTAGACTTTGCTTGTACTGTGATCTATATATACCTGCATGCTTGCTTTGCTAGGTAGAGATCACTGTGCTGTTGTTTTTTCATATATACCCCTGCATGTGAACTGGCCTTGTGGCCCTTTGCTTGTGCTCAGTGTGTGTGGTGACGTTGTGATCCACCCTGAGCTTGCTTTGCTTCTCTTGACTGGTCTTGTGACCCCTTGCTCTCCCCCACTTTGCCTATGGGGGTGTGTCAAAGTATATGCATGCTATATATGTGTAGGCTGTAGTGGGGTAGCCAATATGGGGTACAGCCCCTTTTAGGGTTTCATACTTGTACCCAACTCTTTCATAGTTCAATCATTCCTGCTGCTAGATTTTGACAAAAATACCCTGATTGCCCTGACTGGCGGCCGCTTTTTTTGGGGTTATCCTGACACAGTCAGCCTCCCAGACTTCTTACCCTGAGTCAGAAAGTGTTGGTTTTTTTTTACCCTTATGAAATCCGAGTTAGCGATTGTTTCCCCTGAGTTCTTCAGTGTTCCTCCCGAGTTACACTGATACCGGATCTTTCGTAGCGAGGATATCTAGGATTTTGCGCAAAATTGCGTCTTCAACTTCCGCACTACCGAATTTCGACTAGGCCACTTCAACTTGCTGAAGAATTACACACAAAGTTTCAATGGGCGTTCAGTTTTGGGACCCCAGTACACTGATCAAATCAGCTTAAGTTTGTTTTTACCCTGTTTCCATCAGTGTACGAAATTTTTTACCCTAGGAGTAGGGGTTGGCCCAGCCTGGGACACTGATTATATAGGGTGAGCCAAAAGCAATTTTGGGCCCTGCTTTTCACTTCAAATGTTTCTGCCTGCATCGGTCTCGATCTGACGGTTGCTGGTATCACTTCGACTGTTCTGAATCCTCGACTTCGTACTCGGTAGAGTCCGCTCCTGCAGCGTATGCCTTCTCATAAAGTTTCATTTATCAACAGGATGATTTGGGAAAGGTGCTGTCGGACATGGGTACGGTAGTTGCGGAGGCACAATAGGTCTTTTGAAGGGAGGGAGGAAGGAAAGCCTCTCTCGGACAATTTGTGTTTCGAAAGGTCTTCTGTGTTCCCTTAGGTTCCGTGCTTGTTGTAACAACCAAAGGCGACAGGGACGATGGGGCAAGCAAAGGATGGGAGGTGAGGGAGGAGGAGAGGGAGGAAAGGAAAGCCTCTTGTTGTAAGTTTCTGCGATCCAATGAGCTTTCGACGATGCCCATCCACCGTGCATTGAATTTCGCCGGGCCTTGATCCATGAAATGGGATACGGGTAGTACCGTACGTCCTGGTGCTGGTCAGGCCCCCAGATTCATTTTTAGGGACGTCAAAGCATCAGTGTCCGTCAGTGTAGAATTCCTGATTGACAGTGTCACATGAAAAAAAAGCCTGAAACATCAGGGTTAGCATTGGGAAAACCCTGAAACATCAGTGTTCCCTAAAAAAAAAGGATGTTTTTACTACCGGTCTCTATTATTGGTCAACCCTTTGAGCAAAACAGGCCAATTAACAGACACGTCGCGCCAACAAAACAGCGTGACAAAGTGAATACCACGGGGCAAATTCGTCCATTAGTCCCCGCCAGGCGGTGCAGACACCGCGGGAATCTGCGATTCCCTGTAATTCCGGGCAAATCCACGAGAACGTGTAAGACTCGCAGTCAGTGTTAGTTTCGATACAACGCTGTGGAATCAGTGTGCCTAGAAAAAATTTCCTGTAAGATCAGTGTTAACTAGGAAAATAAGGCTGAAAAAACAGTGTCACAAAAATCTCAACACTGGAAAATCAGTGTGGGTACAAAAAATTATGCTGATTATCAGGAATTTCAGGGGAAAATTCCTGATAACATAGGGCCTGGTGCTGGTCATGTGATCATCATGCCACGTTGCTGCTCAGTTGCACTGTGCAACTTCCGTTACCTGTCCTTCGCAATCATACCAATGTTACCCACCACAAGGAGATTCACTTGTCTATCATGGTGAATATCATGAGACTGACCTACGATTGCCAAGGACAGGAAGTTCCTCTGGCGTCTACCACCTCAGATGCACTGACTGAGCCATGAGGCACCATGGATCTACATTGTGCAGCCTTGGATAATGCAGGGTGAGTCTGTGCGCTCTGGAAACAACCCTTTCCCTGAGGTGCAACCTGTATCGTCGAATTACTCACTTTACAGCTCCTCTGGTCGTGCAGGAATACCAGGTAGGTGTTTGTCAGAATCGTAACTACACTACAAGATTCGCACACAACACTACCAATTCCTAACGCTTGAGACAAGCATTCGAACCTTGTCACGAGCATGTCTCAAGTGCGCACAGTTTCAAAACACACCTACACTAACAGAAAACGACGCTGCCGCGCTGACAGCCACGCAGGGCTGCGCCAGGCGCCAGGAACGCGTAACCAACGTTGTCTAATCAGTTACACTCCGGTCAAAACGTTTCGTTTTCCAGCTTCGCCTTTGTTCGCAGCGAGCCAGCGGCGGGAGTGCGACTCGCGCCTATAAGCGCCGTCTCGAGACTCGCCGCCTTTTCCGCCGCGAGAGCCATGGCTTCGAGCTGCTTCTGTTTCTTCGAGCGCCGCCACCACCAGACGAGCAGAACAATCAAAGCGATGAATATCAATGCTCCTACCACGACCGCGATATATACGGCAGCACTCGTGCCGCCGCTGCTGCTGCTGCTGCTGCTGCTGCTGCTTCCGCTGCTGGTCGGGGTACTGGCGGTACTTGCGCTGCTCGCGGCGTTGGCGGAGCTGCTGCTGTTTGCGGGGACGGTTGTGTTGGGGCTGGCGGGGGGAGCTGTCGGCGCAGGAGGAGGGGGGAGGGGCTTTTCGGGAGATGGGGGCGGAACAGAGGGGGGAGCGGTTGGCGCGGGTGTGGGCGCAGGTGTGGGAGCAGGTGTGGGCGCAGGTTCGGGCGCAGGTGTGGGCGCAGGCGTGGGCGCAGGTGTGGGCGGAGGCGTCGGCGGAAGGGGAACGGAGGGGCCTGACGCGTCAGGTACTTAGGCCCCCCAGCGGCACTAAACACCGCACATTGCGGCGGAAACTTCGGATCCGTGACCGGGGCCGGGAACGTGATTACAATGGGTGACCCTGCCGGCGCCGTCACTTGTAACGTCTTGCTGAAAGCGGCGCCTGGTGTTGCGACAGGAGGATACGCGACAATATCGAGGCCCGTGAAATAGGGCATGAACTCGATCCCGTCGTCGGCTGGCTTGAATGGCGCCGTGTCGTTCGGCAGCGTGTTGTAAACCAGAGCGACCTGCTTCGCCGTGGTGTCGATTGCGAGACCTGGAGGCAGGGCGAACTCGTGAAACTTGTAACCCTTCGCGACGAGGAACGCGCGGTCTAGAACTATCACTTGGGAGGTCATGTTGGAAAACGGGGTCGGCGGCAGCGCGACGATTTTCCCCGGAAGGGTATTTTGCAGTTGATGCATGGCGAGTTGGTGTAGAACCCCCTCGTAAATTTTGAGACGCGTTAATTCGATGTCGCTTAAAACGGGGATTGGTGTTATCGCGGCAGCGCTGGTTGCCTGGGCCTGGTACGGTAGGAAGGTCGAGATGAGGAGTAATGAGAGGACGAGGGCAGCCATGGCTGGTCTCCTGGGAGAAGATGCTGCTTGGAACATTGCTGATGCGTTTCGGAGCTGTGACGCAGTGACTAGAGTTTAAACTCGGAAAAACTCCAACCACCAGTTGTTGAGACGAAGTTCGTGAGTTGGGGTTGATGACCAAGTGAGAGCGAGTTTGTGTGGTGAAGGGAGGAAATGCGGGATGAACAGCAGGAATGGCACAAATGCGAGTGGAGGGGAAGCAGAGTGACGGGAGGGGGCGAAATTATCGAAAGCGAATCAGCACCGAATCGCGGAAGGGTCGATTGCACGAATGTTGATGGAAATGCCGAGCCGCTTTTAGGTAAGACCCGCGAAGTCTGGGCGGGGCAGGCGGGAAATGGCAATCAAAAGGGCGAAATCGCGCGCATTGGCGGAAATCGCGTTTCTCTCAATTAAATCGACCCAAATTGCTCCCCCCTCGCTACGTGGGCGTTTTTCTTAATTGGATGGACCGCCTTCCCCCCCGCCCCCCCAACCCGATGTTCCCGCCCTTCCCCACCGAAATTCGGGCAGCCGTGTGTACTCGCGTGAATTCACAAACAGTCACGATTACAATCTAACCACAACATGCGACAGTGTCCAGGTACTTGTGGCATGCCACATCACCTTTCCAACAGATTCTCGATTTTGTTTTATGTTTTAAATATTATTGTATTAAGCTTATTCCACGAAACATATAAAATCACTCTAGATTGAAAATTTATTAAAATTTATATAACAGAAATCTATAGGCTGATTAAAATTAACCATTTGATATTGATTTGTAGTTTTTTCGAATAGAAATATTACCCTCCAATTACCAAGTTTGTAAAAAACAAATATATTAATGCAGTGACATACAAATAAACAAAACCCATATTACTGCTTAAGATCTCATTCACAATCAATTGTGTTTAGGTGTTATGCTCAAACTATAAATAATCACAGAATGTATCACAATTTTACTACTGGTGATATATTCTGTGACAAAGAGAAATTCAGATAAGGTACTACGTTAAATTTTACTGTGCGTTCTCCAACGGCTCCTCGCACAGCCGACCGTGCACGTCATTCAACATTGAAGAAACAAAACGCACTGCATGCGTGTCATTTTGGCGCGCAAAATAAAACACCAGTGTTCCGTCAATTTAGATGTCGTTCGCATGTTGAAGTCTTAGCGTTACGAAAAAGCATGTATTCGTGACTGTTTGTGATTCCACAAAATTCCAGCGGGTGCCCGAATTTCGGAGGGAAAGGGCGGGAAAATCGGGTTGGGGGGGCGGGCGCAAACGAAGTCCATTCAATTAAGGGAAACGCCCACGTGGCAAAGGGGGAGCAATTTGGGTCGATTCAATTGAGAAAAACGCGATTTCCGCCGATGCGCGCGATTTCGCCCAATCAAAAGAGTGTTCCGCGATGTGCGGAACGTCGTTAGCCAAAAAATGCAACCGAAAAACATGAAACGTACGCGCTACGCCGTAGTAAGCGGGTTCCTTTGGTGGCCGTTTTCCTTATACGGTATCGTGTTTCTTGAGGTCATACAATGAATTAAGGTGTAAATTGGCAACCTGCTTCCTACTGGACGTTAAAAGCCATTGAGGCACATAACACTAAGAAAAGACAAACAGCGTGATTTTTTCAGTGTGTACACAAGCAAATGTGCACAGTTAACCCTTCAGGCGTTCAGAGATGTCCTTGTCGTCCCCATCGGCTTTCGTACCAAACGCCATCTCATCAAGGCTCTGGCCCAGGCGCTTGTATTTCCCACCGGCCTCAACAAACGCGGGACACGGACGATACACCTTTACTGGGAACCACTGAAAGCCCGGGAGTGCACCGACGCCTCCCTGAAAGACAACAGGATAAGGATACGACAGAAACAGCATGACACAAACTAGGTCGGAGGATCGGCCAAAGGCCTTTCTCCATCATATGCCATCGATAAGCAGGTTCACATAGGATACCGTATTATTTGAAATAATTATGTGGTGCAAAGAAGCATGAGTTTTATGCCTGTCGACAAGGGCGAGAAACGAAGCGACACTAGGATCGGAGGAGGCAGGCACAGTCCTCACCTGAATACGACCTTCCCCATTGCAGCCTCCCACCTTCTCTGTCCTGCCACACGCCTTGCACACGTCTCCAGAGACCCTGCTCTCACTGCTACCTGCGGTTTCAGTAGGCAAAAAAAAGAGTTTCTGGCTCAGCTTTAAAGGGGAAGAATTTAACAGTCTTGGTCGGCAAAGGAGCCATGCTCTGTACCAGAGCGGAGGGCAAGCAAGCAGAATCCGAAATACAGAATTGTTGACAAAACGAGGATTGCAATCATCGGGTATGAGTTGTTAATCTAACAACGGGGTATGAATTCAAAGAAAGCTAAAACTCAGACAGGGCCAACGTTGATAAGACAGCACCAACACACCCTTAACGGCAACAACAAGTGGTTACAGAACGAGTGGTTACCAGCAGCAACAACTGGTCACCAACGAGGCAGGCAGTTACAAGCAAACACAGGTGGTTACCAGCAGGAGCAGGAGGCGTGTCTGTGGCTGTGGAGGCCTGGTTGCCTTCAGGCGAGGCTGCAGCTCGTGTCACGGCCAACTGGGGAGAGACACGAGGAGGAAAGGGTTCGGGAGCAGTGTGGGTGTGTGTGTGTGTGTGTGTGTGTGTGTGTGTGTGAGTGTGAGTGCGTGCATGTGTGAGTGCGTGCATGTGTGCGTGCGTGCGTGCGTGCGTGCGTGTGTGTGGGTGTGTCTGCAGAGTTTTCTTTCAGTAACAAAGTGGCACATTGGGGACACGGAGAATGAGGAGTGAGGGAGAGGGGCGGGATGCGAGGGAAGGGGTGGCAGCAGGGAGAGATGGAGGCAACGCAGGAACAGCGTGACTGTAACGAGCAGCATTGCAGCTGCGACTGGATCCGCGCTGGCGACTGGCAGTGCAGCTGCGACAGACAATGCAGGTGCGACTCACCCGGCGGTAGGGTTGTCGTTGTCGCGAGACGCCAAGCTGCTCCCTTCTGGGCTGCACTGCCTGGGACGGCAGGACGCGGGAATTTCGAACACGGAAGGTCGAATTTAAGAAAGTGGTCGAATCGGAGCGACAGAAACGACAGGAACGACACGGAAGGAGTGGGCGAAAGAACGGCGGAGCACGGGAAGGAATGGCGTGGAATAGGGGTTGCGGAATCAGAGGAGCGACACGGAGGCATGCGAATTCTAAACGCGATAGCAGTAAAACGACACGAAATGGCTGAAGCGACTCACCAGAGAGACTGCTCCCAGGGAAACGCAGGAGGACGCGAGAGCCGCCATGGCTACGCAATAAGGAAGCGGTGGTGCCTGCTCTGTGCTCTCCTCCACTTCTTCAGGCGAATGGATAAGGCGATTGGAGGGAGGTGCGCAACAGCAGTGTGGTTGGCTGCGACGATCGCGACGATTACGACAAACGCGGCGAACCGGAATGCGAGTCACTGAGTGGGTCGTCACGGATGTGCGACACCCGAAGTTCGAACGTGGCTACCAGCAAGATGTAACAAATTTGTATCGTGGCAAGAACTTGCAACACGCACAAACCATAGAAAATGCACTTCAAAATGCACAGGCATATACATTCATGAGCACCTATAACTAAGTATATACATGGTTATACCCATGCTATTTGAACAAGTGCATCACACACACATTTAAGCACACAAATGGTCATTTCCTAGCTTGGAACTCTGTTTTCACAACTAAGTTACCCACTCAAGGCTACACCCTACACCCACTACGGTCAGCATCAGCAGTGCCTGTCCATTCGCATTTGAATACTGGAGTCAAGGAAAACGTATTCAGTCTCTGGGAAAACCCCCCACGCATTCGAACCATCCCTGTCAGCACGCCACATCAGCACCCAAGGGCCCGTCAAATAGCAACTCGGAAAACTCTTCCGGGGAGAAATCGTCGGCCAGTGGGAGATGGTCTGGAAGCAGCTCCCCCTCCCCCTCGTCCCCATGGCTGTTGCTGCCGTCCCCTTGCTCCTGAGGGTTACATGACCACATGAGAGGAGAGGAGAGGAGAGGAGCACAAGAGGAGAGGAGAGCACACAACATGAGGCAAGGAGTGCACATAGCAGGGGCAAAACACATGAGGGACCCCGTTAAGGGCAGCAAGAGAGAACATGTTAACCCTGGGGTGCCGGTAGGAGAAGCACAAACAACCCTCAACCTTCCTCATCCCCACTCTCTTACCTCCCCTCACCCTTCCATCCCACTCCCTCATCTTCCCCCATCCCTCCCCTCCCTACTGTCTGCAGCCTTTCTCACTCTAGTTGACCTCCTTCCCACTCTCTTCCCACCTCGCCCACCACCTACTGACCTTCTCTCACCTCCCTTCTGCACACCCCCTTTCTCTCCCACCGTGCCACTCCCCTCACTCCCACCGTGCCACTCCCCTCACTCCCACCGTGCCACTCCCCTCACTCCCACCGTGCCACTCCCCTCACTCCCACCGTGCCACTCCCCTCACTCCCACCATGCCACTCCCCTCTCGTCGTGCCATCATTGCAAGTGACACAATACCCGGACCCTCTTTCCCCCTTCTTGCTCTCCACCCGCTCTATCACCATGTCATCATTGCGGGTGGTTTTTGGGACGTCTCAAAAGTCGTCCACCCGCTCTATCACCATGTCACCATCACGGGTGGTTCTCAAGGTGCCTCACTTCAAAGCAGGCTAAAAAACCATACCTCCCTGCCTTCAAGAAGGTCCCACCACCACACATCTTTCCCCCGTTCCCCTGCTGCCTCTCACCATGTCATAACTGCGGGCCAATACCTGTGACCGCCCTCCCATTCCTTCCTCCCTGCCTCCCTCTCACCATGTCATCATTGCGGGCGAATCTGCCTCGCACGCGCGGGCGGCTGTCTGCCAGAGTCTTGCGGCACACATACTGGGAAGCAGGAAGGAGAAGGGGGGAGGGGATGAGGGGGAGAGGGAAAAACGGGGAGAGGGGGGGCACAGAGGTGGCTTGTGAGTCGACTCAAAGGCAGCTGTCTGCCGGAGCCTTGCGGCAAACGCACTGGAGGAGGAGGTGGGGGGAGGCGAAAGTTGGGGGATGAAGGGTGTGGGGGTGCAGGGGAGGAAGGGGCGGAGAGAGGTGCCTTGTGAGTCGACTCAAAGGCAACTGTCTGCTAGGGTTTAGGGGAATCTGGGAGGGGGTATGATGGGTGAGGGGGGTGAGGGGGGGAATGGAGTTTTGGGTTAGGAGGGGTGAGGGTTTAAAGAAAATTGTTGAGGGGATAGGTGAGGGGGGAGGGAAGACGGGAGAGGGGAGAAGGTGATATGGAAATAGGGGAGGAGAGAGGGGAAAAGGGGGAAGAGAGAGGGGAAATGGGAGAGGAGTGGGACGAGATGGGTGAAGGGCCCACTTTCGATAATTCTCTGAAGGGGTGAGCGAGGGTGCACAAGGGGGTGTGGATGAGGTGACTTTTGAGTCGACTCAAAAGCCAAAAGGGGTGAGGGTGCACAGGGGGTGTGGATGAGGGCAGGGAGGGCGATGCCACTTACTGACGGAGGATTGAGGGTTGAGCACACACACACACGCACACACAAACACACACACACATACACACACATCCACACACACACACACACGCACATACACAAACACACACACACACGCACATACACACACACACACACACACACACACACACACACACGAGCCCACACACACAGAGCTGCCCACCAGCCGCCCACCTTGATCCTGGTGAAGCTCGTTCGTGCCTCTTCTGCCAGTACCGTGAGATGCGATGCTGCCACATGCCACATGCGATGCAATGCGATGCGATGCGATGCATGCACCCACCTTGATCCTGGTGAAGCTCGTTCGTGCCTCTTCTGCCAGTACCGTGAGATGCGATGGTGAAGGTCATTCGTGCCGGTACCGTGAGATGCGATGGTGAAGGTCATTCGTGCCGGTACCGTGAGATGCGATGGTGAAGGTCATTCGTGCCGGTACCGTGAGATGCGATGGTGAAGGTCATTCGTGCCGGTACCGTGAGATGCGATGGTGAAGGTCATTCGTGCCGGTACCGTGAGATGCGATGGTGAAGGTCATTCGTGCCGGTACCGTGAGATGCGATGGTGAAGGTCATTCGTGCCGGTACCGTGAGATGCGATGGTGAAGGTCATTCGTGCCAGTACCGTGAGATGCGATGGTGAAGGTCATTCGTGCCGGTACCGTGAGATGAACTGCTGCCATTTCCCCCTCTTACATTCATTCACACACATGAGCGCCCAACCCCAGACACACAGGCCTCCCCACATGCCTGCGCCCACCTTGATCTTCTTGGTGTAGTTGCACTCATGCTGCTTCTGCCGGTAGCGGGGAATGCTCATACATTCACCCCGACACACGAGCACCTCTGCTCTGCGTGCTACGCATACCAACCCACACACATGCCTGCACCCACCTTGATCTTCTTGGTGTAGTTGCGCTCATGCCGCTTCTGGCAGTACCGTGAGATGCGCTGCTGCCACTTCCCCCACCACTGCTCATACTTATTCACACACACGAGCACCCAACCCCCCACACAAGCCTCCCCATCAGCCGCCCACCTTGATCTTCTTGGTGTAGTTGCGTTCATGCCGCTTCTGCCGGTAGCGGGAGATGCGCTGCTGGCGCTCCTCCAGGGTGTAGCGCCCCACGCGGAACACAGCAGAGCCATCGTCCCCCATGGGGAAGGGTAGCCCAGCCATGGCGCTCAGGGACTGGAGCATGCGAGGAGAAGGGTGAGGGACGGGACGGGAAGGGGTTTGAATGACTTCTGAGTCAACTCCAAGGAGTTTTGCCGGTGCAAAGAGATGCGCTGCTGGCGCTCCTCCAGGGTGTAGCGCCCCTCGCGGAACACTCCCCCCCCATCGTCCCCCACGGGGAAGGGCAGCCCAGCCATGGCGCTCAGAGACTGCAGCAGCATGAGGGGAAGGGGGTGGGACGGGACGTGATGGGACGGGACGGGACGGGAAGGAAGGGAATCAGGTTAAGGATCAGAGGTGTGAGGTAAGCGTTACTCTGCTGGCGCTCCTCCAGGGTGTAGCGCCCCACGCGGAACACAGCACCGCCATCATCCCCCATGCCACCCCCCATGGGGAAGGGCAGGCCTGACATGGCACTGAGAGGCTGTGGGATGAGGAGAGGAGAGAGGGTCCATCAGCGGTTTGACGTGAGAGGCAAGTGCTACTCTCCATGGAAGGGCAGCCCAGGCATGGCGATTAGGGATTGGAAGGAGTCGAGGAAGGGTTTGGAAGGGTGGGAAAGGGATGAGAAGAGCCTGGGCTGCCTCCCCACTCCCCACTTCTCATCTCTCAGTGCCTGGGATGGGAAAGGCATGAGGAAGGGTTTGGAAGGGTGGGAAAGGGAAGAGAAGTTGGTCAATGTAAGGAGTGGTGAGACAGAGAGGGGCGGAGAGGAAAGCGTGAGAGGAGAGAGGGCGTCTCGATTGTGAGTGTACCTTCACTTCAAAATACCCTTTTTGCTTCTTGCCTTACGTCATTGCTGGTCAAGCATCTTAATATGTTTCATTGATGAACCAATCTTCTCTGAGGTTTGTGAATAATTACTCTCAGTATTAAAACCCGAGGGTCAAGAAGGCCAAAATTGGTTCATCCTTCCTAATGCTGGTTGGGTGTCCCAAAAACGCCTGTGATTATTCCCGAGTTCTAAGACCTCGTTGGCCCGCGGGTTTTAACAGCACCATGCCCTTTTGTTTAGTCGTATTGTGCCATTTTTCTACAGAATCCAGATCATATTAAGGTGTACGTGACTGTACTCATGCGAGCCAACCTCACCTGAATGTCGCCAGTGCTCTGCACTCTCCGCATTCCGCCCAGCGATGGAAGCCGCGGGGGAGTCAATCCCCCCATCGCGCCCATCCCTCCGCCCCCCTCCATCCCCATCATCCCCCGCGCATCTGCTCCCGCGCCCCCACCTGCGCGCATTTGCCCCATCGTCGCGGCTCCCCCCGCCTGCCCCCCCCTCCTTCCGCCCATTCCGCCCATTCCGCCCGGTCGAGCGCCCATCCCCGCTCCCCCTGAATCCCCTGGAGATGCTTCCCGCTTCGCCCCGCTCTCCCACCCCGCGCCCATGCCTGCGCCCTCGCTTCCCCTCCCCACAATCCCCCGCTGCTTGCTGCTGCTTCCGCCGGCGAACTCCCCGCGGGGGGAAACAGGGGGGATCTGCGGAGGACCCATGCCCTTGGGGGAAGCTAACGGCGCCCCTCCCGCGCTGCTACCCGCTGGCCCTGCGCGCGCGCAGCCGCCCCCGCCCCCGCCCCCGCCTCCGCCTGCCGCGGCAGCTGCGAGCGCCTGCCTGTGCAGCTGGCCTAGGGAGTGACTGCTGTGGCTTCGAGGCATCATTCCCCGCCGCTGCAACAGGCGCTGCCGCAGCAGCATCTGCTGCTGCTGCTGCTGAAGGTAGATCGACGGCAGAGGCTTCAATTCGTCTTCTTCCCCCTCCTCTTCCCCCAACTCCGCCGCTTCTCCCGCTCTTCCACGCATCCCCGCGCCGTCTCCCCCGCTCCCGTCCTCCTCGCTCCCTGAGTTTCCGCTGCTGCCATCGCCAGTCCCCGCGCCCATCCCCAGCTTTCTCCGCGCGCCCATGCCTCCGCCCATACCTATACCTGCGCTTCCCGCGCCCGCCCATCGTTCCCCCTCGGCGCCCCCGCCTGCGCGACTGTGGTGCGACAGCTGCCCCATGGAAGCCACGCGCCGCATCTTCGACGGCGCCATTCCGGCCGCCATTCCCGGCGCGCCCCCCGCCGCCGCCGCCGCAGAAGACCCAAAGCCCGAAGCTCCTGACGCCGAACCTGACGCGGCCTGCATCCGCGGCACCGCCGAGGCTGAGCTCCCGCTCATCCGAGCCGCAGCCTGCAACCCGCCCAAGCCTTCGTGGTAGCTTCGGCGTCGGGGAAGGCTCGGCGCGAAGCTGCTGCCGCTGGGGGCGCCAGGGCGCGGGCGAGGAGACTTAGACGGACTAACGGATTCGCTCTTAACGGGGACAATATCCCCCCCCGCGCGACCAAAACCAGACCTGGCGCTAACTGGCTCCGCCTTGACTCTCCCCGCGCCCCCCCCGCCCGCCCTGCTAGCGCCGCTCATTACGGGAACGGGGGTGCCTAAAGCGGGGGCAGCGCCGCCCGGGAAACCCGGAGGCGGCATCATGCCTGGGAACATGAAGGGCGGCGGGAGGCCGGGGAGGGCGGGAAGGGACGGCGCGTGGGATGCGGCGGGCATGGGGGAATCGTCGTCCGCGGGTATGGCGGAGGAGGCGGTGCCTCCTGATTTCTGCTGCTTCGCCGTCTGTTGCTGTTGCTGCTGCTGTTGCTGCTGCGCATGCTGCATGTGCATGTGTTGCATGTGCATGTGCATGTGCATCTGCTGCATGTGCTGCATAGCGTATGGATGCCCATGCGGGTACATCATCCCGTTAGGCATTGCGCCAGGGGGCATCCCGGGCGGCATCCCTGGGGGCATTGCGCCGGGCATGGGCGGAGGCATCCCCGCGGGCATCATCCCCGGCGGCGGCATGGGGAACGGGTGCGCGGACATGGGGTGCCCCTGCGCGGGGTGGCCGGGCATGGCATGGCCTTGCATCGCCGCCATGTGCATCGCCTGCGCCGCCGCCATCGCATGGTGCTGCGCCATCGCGGCCGCCGCCGCGGCAGGCGGCATCCCCCCCGGCATCCCCCCCCACATCCCCCCCGCCATTCCCCCGGGCATCCCCATGGGCCCCATCCCTGCGCCAGGTTGCCCCCCCATCGCGCCCCCGTGCGGCAGCCCTCTGCTCGTTGCGCCGTTCACCGCCGCTCCCCCCGCCGCGTCCGCCGCGCCAGCGGGTCTCCCCGCGCCCTTGTGTTTCTGCGCGGGCCGCGTGCGCGACACCATGGGGCTGAACACCTGGCTGTGCCCGAACGACGACGATGGCGGAGAACCCGGCGCATCCGCCGCATGCGCGGTGTCCCCCACCACCCCCATGCCCTGTGTCTGCGCCTGTGCCTGCGCCTCCTCCGCCTCCGCCCCCGCATGCTTTTGCGCAAACCCCTGCGCGTGCGCGTGCGCGTGCCTGCGCGCGTATTGGCGCATGCGGGAGGGGGAGGGCGGAGAGGAGCTCATTGAGAAGCTACAGTCCGACCCTTCCGGAGAACCCGCGTCCCCCGCCCCTCCCCCCGTCGTTCCCCCCGCGCCAGCAGCTCCCATATCCCCCGCTTGTGGCGCAAAATTCTCCTGCGCGTTGCCCTCTCCCCCGTTCCGCGCGCTTCCGCCCCCCACGAGGCCTCCTCCGCGGTCCGCGGTCGGCTCTCCCTCCGACAACACGCAGTACGGCGCTAAGCTCACTTCCGCAATCTCGAATATCCCCCGCCGCTTCCCCCCTTCGGGCCTTCCGCTACCCCCGCCTGCGCGGTCCTGGTTCCCGCGCGCTGCTTCGTCCGCTTGCGACGCTCCCGCCGTCGCAGTGTGCTGCAAGTGATGAGAGGGGTCTAGCGTGGCCGCTACTGCTGCGGCTGGGACTGCTGCCTCTGGCACCGCTGCCGCTGCTGCTGCTGCTGGTAGTCCGGCCGCAAAGGAGATGCTGGGGTCTGTTGGTCGGCGGACGGCACGCAGAGAAAGCAGAGAGAAGACAGAGAGGCAGAGAGAAGGCATATAGAATGAATCCGCGGAAAAACTCGAAGAGCGTGGCAAGGGAAACGTTTACCGCACTGTTACTTGGGCGGCAGGCGGCTTGACAAGCAAAATAATATTACCGCACTGCGTGTCGCGCCCAACAGCGGCGAGCTGCGAGAAAATGTCGTCGTCGTCGTCGCCCGGCGCGTCCCCCACGCCCATGTCCCTCGCCATCGCCATGGCCGCTCCCCCCAGCCCGAGCTTGTGCGCCGCGTCGAGGTTGTCTTGCGCCAGTCCCATGTCGAACTCGATGCCCTGCCGTGCGACAGTGGGGGCACGTTGGGGGAGTCATTGGGGGGAACATTGGGGAGTGATTGGGAGAAACAACGGTCATTGAGAAGCTCGAATTTGAGAAACCTTCTTGAAATCGTTGTTGCATCGGATACAGTTGCTTTGCTTCAGGCGAGTGTGCCAGCTTGCTCACTCACATCAAAGTCCGTCATTGCAAATATTCCATCGTCGAAGCCGCCATGGAAGTACGCGCCGTTAGTCGCGTCGGGTAACTCCGCCGTCATCGCGTCTGTCGCAGCTCTACCGCCTGCTGACACGGGAAGAAACACGCTCCCGTCCATTGCGGCCATACGGTGAACTGATATCTTCCTTTCAAACTGACCGTTCCTGCTGTACTCGGATACTAGAATTCTGCAAACCGTTTAACTCGCTTATCTGGTAGTACGAGACACTACGAGAGATTAGCACATAGTAACATTGGCAAGAAGCGAGAACTGTGAAAACTAGACGGCCTGAAAAGGCGGGCGAAATACCTGTCAAGGATTCTGGAACTGCTGGCGTACAACAAACTGCTGCAAGTCTAGTTGAGAGGATGAGGTGAGGATAAGATGTCAAACTTTAATGGCTGGCTGCACACGCCCACACACCGCAAAACAGCTCGATCCCACCACACACTTTACTGTGCCGTGGCCTCCATTCTCGATTGTGGACCTGGCATGAAGGCCCTGTTCGATAGGCTAACACTAATGCCCGCGGAATCCTCGCGGTTGTTTCGATTTCTGTTTTTTTCTACGGTCAGCCCGTAATTTGGTGTCACATGGCTTTAACGCTCTGGAACCTCAAGGGTTAGTGTTAGCCTTTCGAACGCATCCCACTCAAGCAGCGTTAGCCCACTCAGAAAGTTCACGCGTCCTTCTCACTCGGGCAAAGGTTTAGCCCTCGCCAGCCTAACCCTCGCCCCCCAAAAGTGGGGTTTGCCAAAGGGCTCGTGAAGTGTTTGCAGTGGTAGGGATACCCACTCCGTGGACCCAAAACATAAACCGCCAAACTAGACTGCTCGAAAAAAAACTTCCATTCGAAAACCTGATCGATCCCAGGCGAGCGATTTGTGGACAAGGCTTTTTTTTTGCCGGCGTTGTTACCCAGACCCCTCTAGCGAGCAATCAATTTTTTTCGACACAGCCCGCGATGACCCAGGTAGAAGGAGGCGCGCAGCATCGCCCTCAGGGTCCCGCTCCTTCCGATTTCTAGGGGCGGGGCTTCCGATTCGGTTGGGCGGTCGGTTAGCTAGAGGAAATTGCGATGATCCCTCCTCTTAACACTAGCCTAACCCTCGCCTTTTGCAGTGTTAGCCTATCGAACAGGGCCGAAGTGTTCGATGAGAGCTGTTCGATAGAGATAAGAGGACTGTGGCGTAGAGAGGAAAGGGAGGTTGCCAAAACACCTCCATTCCTCTCCCCAACATCTCCCAACCTGCGAGCGTTACGGAGATTCCAAGGTTGCACCCCCTCGAGTTCCGCGGTCGCCTTCCTCAGAATGTTTCTGCCCAAATCCCAATGTTCCCCGCCGCAGCGCCAAACCACCATCCGCCCGACCTGAACCAATCTGCCGTGCTGGTACCCCGAGCCGAAAAAGGAAGTCCCGAGCCTCGTCTGAGTAGCTTCCGTGCCGGAAAGATGAGGGGCCGCCCTGCTTCGAGTGCACTCCTGGTTCGCCAAAACTCCTCCGGACCTGGGATGACAGGTATGTGGGAGTGCAAAGCTGGGAGAAACTGACCACGCCGAGCGAGACGAACCAGACCTTTCACCCACCAGGCCACAGCCACAAATCTCCTTGTCCTCGCGAAAGCAGTCATGATGATGGCGGTGGAGGTGCAGACTGGTTGCTTTTCTCACAGGAAGACATGACCACAAGTGGCACTCGAGTAATTTTCTCACGGGCAGCGGAAAAGTTATTCGCTACAGAGATTTTACCCGGAAACCTATTCGTTAAACTGTAGGTTGTAGAGTGCTTCGTTTCAGCCAGATAGAAATCAGAAGTACCAGATCAGAGCGATACCTCTGATTCATGACGTGGATATCACCAACGATGACCTGTGAGCTGATAAGCCAATCTCAACTCGAGAACTGTGGACCTCGAATCCGATATCTCGCGGCACAGCTTCCAGATTTCTGTGATTGCGTTCCACCATCCACCGACCTTATCGAAGAATGACAATGACTTTTTACCCGGAAATTGGCAATTTGATATTCCTCTGCCAGTACAGTATATTATCAAATTCCAGATACTTGATCCACAACTGTGGTAACCTGTTGAGTACATACCATGCATGAATCCATTGGCCCACGCTTCCATTGACTTGTTTGCCAAAATATTCCTTGCCGTTCATTGAAATAATGGATTGATTCAAATAAGGGGTTGGGGTTGCAACGAGTCCTTGAGTGTGTGAGTGTAATTCCTACGTAAGTGCAACTAAAGATAAGAGCGTATTCCTATCCTCGTATCAAGAAAACCTCATATCAACCTCCCACTGAAAATCCCCCTAAACCCAAAACCTCTCGCTACTTTTACCAGGCAAAAAGTACAATCTTGATATGAGGTTTTCTTGATACGAGGATAGGAATACGCTCTAACTAGCAAGACATCAACAAACGACTGTTTGCCCAGATGCACTTGCAACAGTGGCTAATACGCTGCTGCTGCTGCTGCTGCTGCTGCTGCTGCTGCTTGCTCCGGCTCCACCATTCTGCCTTGTTGGCAACCTGGCCTTGCTGAGTTGACGCTTGCGCTCTACGACTAGGCGGTCCCACTGTGAGTGGCCCGAGAGAATGGTGTTCTTCACGGCGTCATACGTCGTCAGACGCACACTGCGAGGCATGGGAAAAAGGAGAGATATGAATTTAGACAGAAGCGACGGTGGGGCTGATGTGAGTTAGCAGAGCAGGAATGGAGTAGTTTTTAAAGAGGCCGGCCACAACGCTTACCTGCTGTTAGGAAGGTTCTTCACCGTGTTGGCAAGAAAACCTCGGTAGAGCCCCAGCCATCCATCTCGCTTCACAATTCCTGCCATAAAACACACACAGATAGACAAATGCATTTGAGCACATGGCTATAGACTGTTGCATCCACACGAGGTTCACAGCTTAGTCATTCCCCTCTTCCAACGCACACACCTACCAGAATAGGCTGAGAATCAGACTGATCAGATCGGAGGGACACACTTGAGAAGGCTTCAAGCATGGAGCTGAAGGCGACCCCTTCATGTGCATCTGTGTACCAACTCTCGGGCCACCCTGTACCTGGTATGACCTCAGGCATGGACTCGAAAGGCGATCCCTTCACACAGGCACGTAGTGAGCCAACGTACGAACGCACCTGGGAAGGCCTCGAGCATGGAGTTGAAGGGCGACCCCTTCATCTGCATCTGGCGCCGCACGGTGTCAATGGGGTAGCACGACACAGTGGCCAGCGTCGTGGCTGCCAGCGCCGTCACCAGGTTCGCTTGGGGCGTGCCCTGGTACTGCTCCGGCACCCGCCGCTTTATCCTGAGGTGGGGGACGGAGATGGGGGGCGGGGGAGGGGGGTGAGGAGCGAGGATGGGTGGAAAGAGGCGCTGATGGGCTAGTTTGCAGCGTGCCCTGGTACTGCTCCGGCACCCGCCGCTTTATCCTGAGGTGGGGGGGAGGGGGGAGCGGGGAGGGATGGTGAGAAGCAAGGAGTGGTGGAAAGCGGCTTATCCTCCTAAAACACACGTGCTATATCCCATCAAACACATGCCCCATCCCATCAAACACATGCGCCATCCCATCAAACACATGCCATCCCATCAAACACATGCGCCATCCCATCAAACACATGCGCCATCCCATCAAGCACATGCCATCCCATCAAACACATGCCTCATCCCATCAAACACATGCGCCATCCCAGCATGCACATTCCCCATCCCAGCATGCACATTCCCCATCCCAGCATGCACATTCCCCATCCCAGCATGCACATTCCCCATCCCAGCATGCACACGCCCTCTAAGCAAGGAAGCGTAGGGAACAGCACGCACATGTCGTAGGCGCAGAAGTTGAGGGAGATGTAGGGCGCAATGGACACCAGCGCGCGTCCCCCCCCATCCCCACATGCACATGCCCCACCCAGCACGCACATGCCCCACCCCCCCACGAACATGTCATAAGCGCAGAAGTTGAGGGCGATGTAGGGCGCAATGGACACCAGCGCCGGCCACATCCCTCCCCATCCCGACATGCATATGGCCTATCCCGCATGCACGCGCCCTTCCTAAGCAAGCAACCGCCCTTCCCCCCGCGACGCACATTTCTAAGGCACAGAAGTTGAGCGCGATGTAGGGCGCAATGGACACCAGCATGTCTTCCCCCCACCCCCCACCTCATCACGACATGCACATGCCCCATCCCAGCATGCACGTGCCCTTCTCATGAAAGCACACGGCCCATCCCGTGACGCACATGTCATAAGCGCAGAAGTTGAGCGCGATGTAGGGCGCAATGGACACCAGCGCCGGCCCCAGCCCCTTGTACAGCGACCTCGCGCCCTCCTCCCTCACCATCGCCATCGCCACCTGCCCCCCACAAAGTCAGTGCCACACGCACATAGCCAGTCAGTCAACTAACGTGGTGCTGGTAGAGGTAATGCTAGCGAGGGTTAGACGCCAGTGTCCCGCAAATGAAACAACGGCGGAGGGTAGTGCGCACGCCAAGAAAGAAACGTGCGAACGCTAGTACGTATGTGTGATGTGCCAATGACAATCACCAAAGTTCCAAACCTTCACTACTCAGCCGCGGCCTCCCAGCCCCCCTTCCTCCTCCTCTCTTGACACCGCTACGACCTCCCCACCCAGCGCTGGGATGCCACATATGGCCCACATATTCAGACTGGTGACTCCGCTACAGCAATTTCGCCCAGTAGCTTAAGAACCGCCTGTAGTACCCTCTACGCCCCTCGTTTTGCAAATCGCCGACACTGCCACTGCCAGAACTATCGGCCCTACCGCCGCTGGTGGCACAACCTCCTGCCTGCTTCAATGCGGCCTCTCGACTCGCTGAATCTCCCCAGCCCTTCTACCTACCGGCCGCCCGACCTCCCTCCGCACAATCACCCTTGCGCCAAAATTTACAGCGGAATAGACCACGCATCCAGTGGACGTTCCCTCTCGCTACTCGCGCCCAGCCGCTGATCCCCTGCGACAGCCGCTTCCCTTGACGCTCGATGCTCGCTTCTCTACGCGGCCACGTGCAAACCCGCACACGGGTTAAGGCCGGCTCTCGGCTCTCTCGCGCAACTCTACGGAGCACTCAGCAGCCGTGTCCACTTCCCAGCGTCTCCCCGTGACCATGTTTCACGCACGAGACACCCGAACTACCTCCGGCACAGCCCTGCTGCCAAGTCTGGGAAATAAACCCTCCCTTAACCCCGCCCCGAAACATCCGCGGTGCTCCGGCTGCATCCGCTACGGCTCCAGCCACGATCATCACTATAACGAAGCACCTCGCAGCGAGCCTCGCCCCCATCCCCGATCCCCACCTGCGCGATGCTCCCGTTGGTGACATCGAGCGCCATGCGCAGTCGCAGCACGTCCAACGGGTACGTCACCAGCGTCGACGTCATCCCCGCGCACGCCCCCGCCGCCAGCCGCGCCGGCACCGACAGCTCCTTGCTGCTGCCTTGGAATTGCTTCTGAGAACAGGAGACGAGGGTGTGGGAAATTGAGTTTTGAGTCAACTAGTCGACCTAAAACCGGGTGAATGATTTTCAGCTTGCACGAGCGGAAAGACTACGAGCGGTAAGGCGAGAAACGGTGAGGCGCCGAGCGGTGAGGCGACGAGCGGTGAGGCGACGAGCGGTGAGGCGACGACGCACCTTGTAGAGCTCGTAGGCGAAGAGCTGCACTGCGCTGTAAGGCACAATGCGCATGACCTGAGGAAGCGGAGAGAGAGTGTGTGTGAGGAGGGGGGGGGGGGAGTGGGGGGAGTGTGGTTGACAGGCGAACTTAGACGAGGCGAAGAGGAGATTGATGGGAACATGAACGGGGGGAAGAGGAGGGAGGGGGGGAAGAAGTGCGGGATCGAGTGACACAGTGGAGGGGACAGGGTTTTGAAAATGGGACTCTGCCCGACGCAAGTCAAGGAGAGAAGGATCAGTGGAGGGAGAAGGTTACCTGGGGCAGGTTTCCTTTCCAGTAAGCAGTAACGCCGCCTTCCTTCCCAATGTCCAGAAACGACTGCCAGCAAAATTCGGCGACGGGAACATGATAGAAATACCACATTAAGCATGGGTCCAACCGGCAACGGAAGCCGCATGGCAACGTGACCTAGTTTTATGTCAATGCGGCAACATGGGATGAAATGCACAGGAGGTGACCATACGATGTGGAGAGCCACCGAATGCACAGCACAGGGCCAGGAGCAGCGGCGGAAAATGCTGCCGGGAAATCACCTTAACGAGGTTGATCTCTCTCGGCGGGATGACCTTCCCCGGTAGAACGCTCTTGACCTGGGGTTAACAAGGGGTGATAGCGGGTTGCGGAAAGAGAGAGAGAAAAAGACATTGTTGACAAACAGGAAAAATGCAAACCGATCAGACCGCTTTCCCCTCTTGCACCGCACCCCCAATCGTTCCCGGCTTTACCACCACTCTCTCGTCACGTCACCCACCTGGATCATCAGCTTCCATCGGTCTAGCGGCGCGGTCGCGGTTTTAGCGGCAGCACCGGCGACGGCGCCGGAGATGAAAAACGAGGCGTCCTTGGGAATGCCACGGAGGAGCGCCAAGGGGTGCGTCAGCAGCTGCACCAGCGACGGTCGCGTCACCGCCTCGTCCACACACCCAGCCCGATCCTGCGCTGCAGCCTCGGCGAGCGGCGCATCTGACGTCAGCTTCCGCTCCTCGATAGCCGAAGCCTCCGAGTTTACGGTTTTTAGGGACGCGACGGAGAGTGGCATCGACGTGGGAGCCTTTCCGAAGTTGGCGCTGGTGACGGCGGGTGCACCGTCGGCCTTCTCGCTGTTCACTCGCGCTACGGAAGCCGGCGATTTGACAAATGCGGCGCTCGAAATGGCGGCTAAAGGAAGGGCTGCGCGAGCCTCTGCTCCTTGCGATCCTTTCGCCGCTCGTCGTGCCTTACCCGAGCGATGGCCTACTGATTGAACGTGCGACCTGCTGGAAGAAAAACGGCAGTCCGCTGCTCCGGATGGCAATGATGCGGATGGAAACGAGGACAAGGTGGCCTGAATGCCCTGAAACCTTTGCCGGTGCGTCTCGCAGAAAGTCTCAAAGCGCTGCTTGTGATCGGCTAGAGAGGTGTGCAGTGTTGAGACGAGAGAAGAGATATCCACGGCCAGGGCTGGTCCGTGCTTCGTACGGCTGTCAAACTGAGAAGCCATCCCTGTTCTTCTTCACCTAAATTTACGGAAAAAAGGGTCGAAAACGTTTGCAAGCACGTTCCTTCCACTTGGCAATTCTGAAGCTGGGGATGAACAACCCAGCAGCAAGAATTACCAGAGCGAAGGAGTAAGCTAAAGGTAGCAGAAGGAAAAGGCTGATTATGAAGCCGGCTACCGGAATAAGAGTCAGTGCAGCAAGGAGCAGTCTGCCTGGCAACCGGCCACTGAGCTGTTTTTCCTGCAGCAGCAGGGTTTCAGGTTCAAGGGGATCAATTTCCATTTTTTCCGCAGCCGCCAGCTCAGGGACTGGTTTGGTTGGGGGTTTTCAGCTTAGCGGGGACATGTATCCCGACCCCTCCGCTTTCAGGGGACGGGTTTCGCACCCTGCGCACAGTTTCCGCAAAAGGCTGGGCTAGGGGGGGGACAGTTATTGTTTAGGTAAGGGACTCGAGCTCTCAATGAGCCACGTGTTTCATCCTTCACAGCTCGCTCACTGTACAGATTCTGCCCTGCGCATGCTTGTCTTTTGCACCGAATCCAGCCCACGTTCGGGGTGGCTGGTCGAACCGTTGTTCCCAAACCTGTGTATTGCACCCGACACCCTGAGAAAATTAGGGAATATATATTGCATCTCCTGACCCAAAAAAACTAAAACCCAATCGGAAAGGGATGCGACTCGGGGAGGCAACAATTCTAAAATCAATGCCCTTTCCCATGTTTACGGTTGATCCCTCCCAAAAATGCGTCAAGGTTCCCTAGGGGTTTATTTTTTTATGCCCTGTCCTTATTGTTCCCGGTAGCGTCGTTTAGCGCCGCTAGCGCAAATGGGCAAGCCAAACGACTCTTCCGCGTGAAATAATTTGGGTCGAAACGACAAGCCAGAGCAGTGGGGAATCTGTGATTTAACACCTACAGTGAGCTCTCTGTGAAAAGTGAGACACGTGGCTCATTGAGAGCTCGAATCCCTAACCGGAACGATAACTGTCCCCCCCTAGCCCAGCCTTTTGCGGAAACTGTCCGCAGGAAGCGAAACCCGTTCCCTGAAAGCGGAGGGGTCGGGATACCTGTCCCCGCTAAGCTGAAAACCCTTTGGTTGGGCCTCGAGGTTGGCTTCTTGTTCTAGAGAACATCGTACGGCTGATGCCGCCTTCACTGATATCTCATCGTGGGATCTACGGATGTTCGGTGTCGGCCCCCTACTTTCCACTTTTCCAGGGTGGATGGGTTGACACGCACTGCCGCGTTCCCTCCGTGGTGTGCGCCGAAATGTGGATGCAGGGTATAAGAGCCGTCGATTACGAATTCCATCCAGTAATCGAGCCGTTCGTCTTCTTTCGGGCTTGTGTGTCCACCACCCACAGCATCAGCCAGCACTGACAGGAAAGGGAGCCCTCCCTCCTCTTGTTTAACAAGTGAGCCTCCACGTGGACAGTGGCTTTCGCGGCACTGTAAGGTCAGGACGCGTGGAAAGGCATTGCTCACGGGTGCAAAAGCCTCATCCAGGCCCAGTTCGGATGGCATTATGGCAATTATCGGCATTAAAGCCCAAGACCTGAATTACTCAACGGAAGTCAACGGAAAAAATTAGGCTCGGAAGGGAGGGACACGGAGGTTCGGTTGGGGTGCGAAGCACTTTCGCTCGCGAAACCAATTTGCGACAAAAGTTTCTCGCGCACAAGAATATGAGTGATGGGTGGTCCTTCCCACAACGACCAGAAAAGGGCGTCCATCCCAAACTGTGCACAGTTTGAGATAGCACGCAGATAACTAGGCATAGAGCATACCTGTAGACATAGCGGGGAATCAGAGGCGCCTTATGAATGAGTGTGGCGCGGATTTCGATGACGCGCAAAGATAGTGTCCGCTGGTGTCGAAATGCAGGTTTGAGTGCAACTGATGTGTAAACTCGCGGCGAATATCGTAGCATGACCCTTCGCCCAAGCGTGAACCTCTCCTCGCCCTCGCTCCTTTCCCTAGGTCCCACGCTTCCAATTTCTTTCGCCATCGCTTCCCCAGCTCGTCGCCTTCGCGACCTCAGCCCGTCGCCTTCGCCCCGCCCGTCGCCTTCGCTTTCCACGCCTGTCGCCTTCGCTTTCCACGCCTGTCGCCTTCACTTCCCCTCCCCCGTCGCCTTCACTTCCCCTCCCCCGTCGCCTCACTTTCCCCCCCGTCGTCACCTTCACTTCCTCTCCGCCGTCGCCTTCACTTCTCCCCCACCCGTCGCGCTCATTTTCCCCCTCCCGTCGCCTTCCCCCGCCCGTCGCACTCGCTTTCCCCGCCCGTCACACTCGCTTCCCCGCCCGTCGCACTCGCTTCCCCGCCCGTCGCACTCGTTTCCCCCGCCCGTCGCACTCGCTTCCCCCGCCCGTCGCACTCGCTTCCCCCGCCCGTCGCTCTCGCCTCCCCCGCCCGTCGCACTCGCTTCCCCCGCCCGTCGCTCTCGCTTCCCCCGCCCGCCGCACTCGCTTCCCCTCCCGTCGTCACCTTCTCTTCCCCGCCAGTCGCACTCGCTTCCCGCCTGTCGCCTTCACTACCCCTCCCATTGCCGTTCACTCTCTCCTGCTCACGCTCTCTCCCCCGCTCACTCTCTTCCCCACCCTCACTCTCTTCTCTCCTGTACACTCCCTTTCCCCCTGTTCTCACCCCTCTCTTTCCCCCTTCACTCAACCCTTTCCCCCTGCTCACTCTCCTCCCCCTTGCTCACTCCCTTCCCCCCTGCTCATTGCTCACTCTCTTCCCCCCCCCCCCCCTTACTCTCTTCTCCCGTGTGCACTCTCTTTCCCCCTGCTCACTCTCTCCCCCTCTGCTCTCTCTCTTTCCCCCTGCTCACTCTCTCCCCCTCTGCTCACTCTCTTTCTCCCTGCTCACTCTCTTCCCCCTCTGCTCACTCTCCCCCCCTCTGCTCTCTCTCTTTCCCCCTGCTCACTCTCCCCCCGTCTGCTCTCTCTCTTTCCCCCTGCTCACTCTCTCCCCCTCTGCTCTCTCTCTTTCCCCCTGCTCACTCTCTCCCCCTCTGCTCGCTCTCTTTCCGCCTGCTCACTCTCTCCCCCTCTGCTCTCTCTCTTTCCCCCTGCTCACTCTCTCCCCCTCTGCTCGCTCTCTTTCCGCCTGCTCACTCTCTCCCCCTCTGCTCTCTCTCTTTCCCCCTGGACTCACTTATCTTTCCCCCCTGTTTACTCTATATTCCCCTTCGTTCAACCTTTTTTCCCCACAATCCCTCCCCCTGCTCACTCTATTTCCCCCTTTGCTCACCCCCTTCTCCTCCCTGCTCACTCTATTTTCCCCTTTGCTCATCCCCTTCTCCTCCCTGCTCACTCTATTTCCCCCTTTGCTCACCCCCTTCTCCTCCCTGCTCACTCTATTTCCCCCTTTTCTCACCCCCTTCTCCCTGCTCACTCTATTTTCCCCTTTGCTCACCCCCTTCTCCTCCCTGCTCACTCTATTTCCCCCTTTTCTCACCCCCTTCTCCCCCCTACTGACTCTCTTTCCCCTTTGCTCACCCTTCTGCCCTGTCCCCACTCCTTCCATACATGCCCTTTGTACCTCCCACCTCCACCCCTCGCTCATTCGCCGTACCCCCTCTTCCCTCCCCATTCTATCACAGAACCATGCTTGTACAGGTGCCCGGCACCATGGGTCCCAACAGGAGTGGGATGGAAAGTTACCACCCCCTAGGTTTGTGCATTGTGCCTCTATAATCCACTGTTGACAACTTTTATAAAAATATAACTCGCTTTGTTGCATTTCTTTGTCGTGGTCATGTGCATGGCTGCTCCAAAGCCCAGAGTGTTGTATGATTGTATCATGAAAAGCATCCACCATCATGGCATGGCATGGCATCGCTATTTGTACCACTATCACCCAACAGCAAAGACATCACAACTTCATGCATGACAGACCTGCACAAACACGAACCACAAAATCTTCTGTGCCAAAAGTTGAAGCAGCGGGGAAGGATACAAAGCAATGCCAATGGAAGGGCAGGCAGGGAACAAGAAACAAGCCCCTAGAATAAACAAACAAGGTAGGAGTGTACAGGCGTGGCAGGGTAGAAGGGTGCGGAGGAATGGTTGACGAGAGGAAGTGTGGAGGCTGAGAGGAAGGGAGGATGGCAGCGAGGGATGCAGGGAAAATAAGCATGCGCCGAGGGAGAAAATGAGCAAGGGAGACAAGGAGGAAGGGCGGAAGAGAGAAAGGGAGGGGGGAAGGAAGAAAGGGAGGATGAGAGGATGAGAGAACGGGAGGATGAGATGAAGGGAGGATGAGAGGAAGGGAGGATGAGCGCAAGGGCTGGAGGGTGGAAGGGTGGAAGGGGAGAAGGGGGGATGAGAGGATGTGAGGAATTCAAGTAGGGATAGGACAAGTGGGTGAGACGGAAAGGTGGACTATAGGAAGCTCGGAAGGTGGCAGTTTGAAAAGAAGGTCGGCATGGTGGAAGAGAGGCACGAGGATGAAAGAAAGAGTGGGTGAGAGAGTGGTAGGGAGGAGGGAGACTGGGAGGAGGGGCGGACGGGAGAAGTGGAGGGAAAGAGAGAGAAAGTCGGTTTTTGAGTCGACTCAAAAATTGAAAGAAAGAGTGGGTGAGAGAGTGGTAGGGAGGAGGGAGACTGGGAGGAGGGGCGGACGGGAGAAGTGGAGGGAAAGAGAGAGAAAGAGAGGAGGGAGGAATGGAGAGTGGAAGGGCGGACAGGAGAAGGCGAATTAGCGGACGAGAGAGGAAGTCGGGACGGCTTCCTGCCCCCGCCACCCCCACTCCCCTGCCCCGCCTCCTCCACTCCCCTGCCCCGCCTCCCCCACTCCCCTGCCCCGCCTCCCCCACTCCCCTGCCCCGCCTCCCCCACTCCCCTGCCCCGCCTCCCCCACTCCCCTGCCCCGCCTCCCCCACTCCCCTGCCACGCCTCCCCCACTCCCCTGCCACGCCTCCCCCACTCCCCTGCCACGCCTCCCCCACTCCCCTGCCACGCCTCCCCCACTCCCCTGCCCCGCCTCCCCCACTCCCCTGCCCCGCCTCCCCCACTCCCCTGCCCCGCCTCCCCCACTCCCCTGCCCCGCCTCCCCCACTCCCCTGCCACGCCTCCCCCACTCCCCTGCCACGCCTCCCCCACTCCCCTGCCACGCCTCCCCCACTCCCCTGCCACGCCTCCCCCACTCCCCTGCCACGCCTCCCCCACTCCCCTGCCCCGCCCCCCTTTCCCTTTGTGCACAGCGCTCCTCACTTCCCGCCTGCACGCGCTGCCCCGGCTGTGCGCCCAGCATTCTCCTCCAATGTTGCAGCAGCACCTGCCATGCGAGCGGGGTTGGTGAAAGAGAGAGGAGGAGGCTGGTTCAAGCTTGCTGTGCTGCCATAGGGTTGTGTGGGGCACAGCGTGAGGGGCAGGACGTGTGCACCGCGGAGCATGCTCCTCGCCTCGCACACCCAGGCAGTGGGGAAGGGAGAGTCAGAGAGAAGGAAAGAAGGGTGCAAGGGTGGGGGGAATCGTGGGTGACTGTGGGAGGGAGTGTAAGGGAGAGTGGGAGGAAGCGAGGGCGACGGTGGGAGGAAGCGTAGGCGATGAGAAAGGAAGAGTGGGGGAAGGTGGGGGAAAGCGTGAGCGACGGTGGGGGGGAGCGTAAGCGACGGTGGGCGGAAGTGTGGGCGACGGTGGGGGGAAGCGTGGGCGACGGTGCGGGGAAGCGTGGGCGACGGTGGGGGGAAGCGTGGGCAACGGCGGGGTGAAGTGTGAGCGACAGTGGGAGGAAGCGTGGGCGACGGTGGGGGAAGCGTGGGCGACGGTGGGCGGAAGCGTGGGCGACGGTGAGGGGAAGCGTGGGCAACGGCGGGGTGAAGTGTGAGGGACAGTGGGAGGAAGCGTGGGCGACGGTGGGCGGAAGCGTGGGCGACGGTGGGGGGAAGCGTGGGCGACGGTGGGGGGAAGCGTGGGCGACGGTGGGGGGAAGCGTGGGCGACGGTGGGGGGAAGCGTGGGGGACGGTGGGGGGAAGCGTGGGTGACTGTGGGAGGGAGTGTAAGGGAGAGTGGGAGGAAGCGAGGGCGACGGTGGGAGGAAGCGTAGGTGATGAGAAAGGAAGAGTGGGGGAAGGTGGGGGAAAGCATGAGCGACGGTGGGGGGGAGCGTAAGCGACATGATGGGGAAGCGTGAGCGACGGTGAGGGGAAGCGTGGATGACAGTGAGGGGGAGGGTGGGCAACGGTGGGCGGAAGCGTGGGCGACGGTGGGGGGAAGAGTGGGCGACGGTGGGGGGAAGCGTGGGCGGCGGTGGGGGGAAGAGTGGGCGACGGTGGGGGGAAGAGTGGGCGACGGTGGGGGGAAGCGTGGGCGACGGTGGGGGGAAGCGTGGGCGACGGTGGGGGGAAGCGTGGGCGACGGTGGGGTGAAGTGTGAGGGACAGTGGGAGGAAGCGTAGGCGACGGTGGGCGGAAGCGTGGGCGACGGTGGGGGGAAGCGTGGGCGACGGTGGGGGGAAGCGTGGGCGACGGTGGGGGAAGCGATCGGGGACGGTGGGGGGAAGCGTGGGCGACGGTGGGGGGAAGCGTGGGCGACGGTGGGGGGAAGCGTGGGCGACGGTGAGGGGAAGCGATCGGGGACATAAAAGTGTCGCCGTTGTGGGACACGACGACGTCGACGAGGAAGCGATGGGAGGGGAAAAGGGCGGACGGAAACGTAGGGCGGATGCGCCCTACAACTGGAGCTGAGGGCGTCGGAATGGGGTCATGACGGCAAGCAGGACAGGAAGTCACTGCAGGGCGGCGGGTAGTTGACTACCATGGAGAGGAAGGTGATGCATGCGGCAAACTGGCGTTTTGCGCGGTCGCGCAGGGGTTCGACGACGATGCAGAGTAAAAGGCGGGGCCATCGCACAGAATCTAGATTTTTTTTGTGAACTAAGCTACAGCTCTATTGGCTTTCTGTTCTACCTCTGCTGGTAAACTGGGAGTTCCTCGTACCATACGACCTGAATTACAAAAAAATCAAACTGTGCACAGCCGCAGCCGTTATCTCTTGTGGAGGGAGTGGTTGGGGCTCTCGCCAACCGAACCTGTGCTGCTCTACGACTCACTGTTTTTCTGCGGGAAGTCATCTGGTAACCGGAGAGGCTCGGGAGAAAAACTGTGGGCTCGGGAGGCAAACTGTGCACAGTTTGCCTTCCCTTTTTTGTAATTCAGGTCTTGGGCTTTAAGGGCATTTTTAACGGGCCCCCAAAAAATGCCGCCTGGGCATTTCTAGAAACTGCTTCGAAATCAGTGCACCTTCGAAAAAACGGGGTTGAGTGTTTGGTTGGCATTAATTGGGTTGAGATTGATGGCATCAATCGAAATTTAGGGTCGTAGAAGCTGGTAGGCAGTTGCCTGGATGGATTGCGTGATCATGTGATTGGCTGGCATACTTGACCAGTCACTTTTGATTGCCCCGAATCACTGATCCTCCGCATGGTGCGGGACCTCGAAGCCGCATGGTGCGGCGGATCAGAAAATGGGCACTTTGCTAGAGAGAATGGGGTCGTTGAACATTCAATGGGTTGGAAACGCAATTGAAAAAAGGTCTGTTCGGCTGGCACGCCATTATTGTGAGGTTCGGCGTAGGTCCGCCAATCCGAGCCGTGATAACCTTTCGTACGCTTATCAAGGAGCTTTCCAGGGTGGTCGTTTCACTGTAGCCCATCCCCTTCGCCCGTTTTTTTAACGCCAGCCGAACGGGGCCCCAATTAGGTCTTCAAGCCAAGTACTGTATTCGTTATGAGACAAATCAGTTGCTGAGGGCGTGTCCCATGAGTTCGTTTGGGAAGGAAATATATTTTCTTACCTAACTTTGTCAAAGCAAAAGAGTGTACACTCTAAAGAAAAAAACAAGCAGCGCGTCAGCACTGCGCCAAACGAAATTGCACCACACGGACTCATCACCCCGCCCACACAAAACTTGTCTCCCGAATCACATTTTACATGGTCCGCGAGCGGTAACCCGGGCCAGTTGCGAATCAACTGTTCCAAAATTGAGGGTAAGACGAAAACAAAATTAGGGTAACGGCTACGCGAACCTGCTCCTGGTGATGGCAGGTACCACGTTAGCAGTTTTTGAACGCATATATTACGAACCTTTTTTACGTACTGGGCGCGTGGTTGTCGCGCGTCATTGAAGAAGCATGTCTACAGTAGGGAAAATAGGGTTACAGTTCTCAAAATGAACTGTAAACGAACTCGTGGCACACGCCCTAATCTCTGCTCCTTCCAGATTTCGAAGGCTCCGGGTGTTCTCTCCGAGCTTAGGATGGCAAATGCAATGGATGTTTCGTGAATTGTACGCCACACCAGCCGAAACCCTTCATCAAATGCCAGAATCTGCTGACGAAACACACAAAAGAATCGACCTCGGGTCGGGTTGGGTTGGGCTCTAAATCAGCATTGTTTTGAACCAAAATTGCCACTTGAGATGCCGCTACTCCACCAATAAGACGAGGAGGCAGTAAACGCGGGAAATCGCAGATTTCAGAAGCTGACTCCCATGCAAAGCATTTGATCAGAATCCATTCTGTCCGCAGCCGACTCCGTTTCCCAGCCGACTCTCGTTTTGCAGCCGAGTAGCAAATTACTAATAGCACTAGACGACCCTTCATCCGTAGGCACAGTGCATGTACCTTCGAGACGGGCTCGTCCTCGGAATGTTTATTGAGCAAAGGGGTTTCGTTACGATGCGTGCCAAGCGGACGATAAATGCTGCAAATAAGCCTGTCATGGCGGAGCGCTCGTAACTGTCGGCATTTCTCAATTTGACTGGCACCCGCGACCTCGGCGCAAGCATTACCGGTTAGGGCCAGTCGACCGACAATGGTGACCACGGAATGAAATTCGCTTTCGCGTAGAGATTGGTGTCAACCCGCGGAGCTCTTGGTCGTCAGACCGGTGTCGATATCGCGTCGCCCAACTGCTGCTGCAGACTCTGCCGGCCAATCTGTCCGCCAATCTGACAAGAAAGCTGTGTGTGTCATTCACGCATTCATCACCCGTTCCGTCGACCACCAAAGATGCAGCCTTCAGGGCCGTTCTCCCGCAGCAGCAACCGACGAGATTTGATTCCCACCAGGGACGAAGCGGAGAACGACAGCGCGCAAAAGTCGGGAAGCTTCGGAAGAAGCAGCAGCAGCGGTTTAGGGACGTCGTCGTCCCCGTATGGCCGGTGGAGATCGGTGGAGTTTTTCCTCTTGTACTGCTACACCGCGTACTTCTACTATCAGGTACCATTTCTGACGTGCTACCAACGTTACAATGTACTGCTACACCGCGTACTTCTACTATCAGGTAAGAGTTCTTAAACTCTTGGATGGTTTTACTGCTATACTTGCCAATGTGCGGCGGGGTGGGTCCGCGAGTCCTCTTGATCGCTCTCCCCGCCAGCACTTCCGACGCTCCTTCTTTTCCCCTTCCTTCTTTCGTATGTTGCAGTTCTTTCCCCGCCTCTGCTCATCACCTCTGCTTCTCTCCCTCATCCCCTCTGCTTCTCTCCCTCATCCCCTCTGCTTCTCTCCCTCATCCCCTCTGCTTCTCTCCCTCATCCCCTCTGCTTCTCTCCCTCATCCCCTCTGCTTCTCTCCCTCATCCACTCTGCTTCTCTCCCTCATCCCCTCTGCTTCTCTCCCTCATCCCCTCTGCTTCTCTCCCTCATCCCCTCTGCTTCTCTCCCTCATCCACCCTGCTTCTCTCCCTCATCCCCTCTGCTTCTCTCCCTCATCCCCTCTGCTTCTCTCCCTCATCCCCTCTGCTTCTCTCCCTCATCCCCTCTGCTTCTCTCCCTCATCCCCTCTGCTTCTCTCCCTCATCCCCTCTGCTTCTCTCCCTCATCCCCTCTGCTTCTCTCCCTCATCCCCTCTGCTTCTCTCCCTCATCCCCTCTGCTTCTCTCCCTCATCCCCTCTGCTTCTCTCCCTCATCCCCTCTCCTTCTCTCCCACATCCCCTCTCCTTCTCTCCCACATCCCCTCTCCTTCTCTCCCACATCCCCTCTCCTTCTCTCCCTCATCCCCTCTCCTTCTCCCCCTCATCCCCTCCTTCTCTCCCTCATCCCCTCTCCTTCTCTCCCTCATGCCCTCTCCTTCTCTCCCGCATCCCCTCTCCTTCTCCCCCTCATCCGCTCTCCTTCTCTCCCTCATCCCCTCTCCTTCTCCCCCTCATCCGCTCTCCTTCTCTCCCTCATCCCCTCTCCTTCTCCCCCTCATCCGCTCTCCTTCTCTCCCTCATCCCCTCTGCTTCTCTGCTTCTCTCCACCCCTCTCCCATCAGGTCATCCGCCACGCTGTGCGTCTGTCCAACCGCTACGCGTCTCTCGTGCGGCACTGGCGGGTCGCTCGCCGACTCACACCGCAAATCATTTCTTTCTCTCCCTCATCCCCTCTCCTTAACTCTCCCCCTCCACTGCCTGCCAGGTCATCCGTCACGCGGTGCGTCTGTCCAACCGCTACGCGTCCCTCGTGCAGCACTGGGATTCACCCCTCTCTCCCTCATCCCTCTCCCCAACTTTTCCCCCTCCCCTGCCAGGTCGTTCGTCACGCGGTGCGTCTGTCCAACCGCTACGCGTCCCTGGTGCAGCACTGGCCGGCCGGCAGCAGCGGGCTCTACCCCGGCTGGATCGCCACCCGCAAGGTCGATCTCTCTGACGACCAGTGGCGGAACTTTCGAGGAAACCTCCCCATCCTGACCGTGGTCATGGGAGTCTTGTCCGGCTTGGCTTTGGTTATCAGGCTCGGGGTCGCAGGTTCGGCCCGAAGCAAGGACGGCTTGGTGGGGGGTGGGAAGAGGTGGGGCAGTGGGGGAGGGCACGTGTTGGCGTTGTACTGGCTTGTAGCGTCGCTAGCGTACGTGGTGTATCTGCACGAGGCGAGTACGGTCTTCCTCCTCGCCTTCGCTGTAGCGAATTACGTTCTAGTGAAGCAGCTGGGGTCCTGGTGCGCAAGCCGAGGCAGCAGCAGCAGCAGCAAGCAGGGCGCCGGCGCAAGCAGCAAGTGGGACTGGCTGTTCCCGACGGTCCTGTGGGCATGGCAGTGCGGCTCGTACATTCTCATCCGCTCATACGACGGCTTCCGATTCGCCCACATCCCCCTAGTGGGCGGCAGTGTGGCGTTCCTGGACGCGCACAGGGGGGTGTTCCGGTGGGAGATCTGCTACAACCTGCTGCTGCTGCGCATGATCAGCTTTGGCCTTGATTACTACTGGGCCGCCCGCGACGCTGCAGCAGCAGCAGGAGTAGGAGCAGCGGCAGTAGCGCAGGGAGAGCCGTTGCTGGGTTCCAAGGTCACAGGGACTGTCAGTGCCAGCAGCACGGGAAGCAGCTTCCTGGAAGCTCACCGAGCCAAGTGCTTGCAGTGCAGGCAGGGGCAGGCGTGCTACACGGCGCGGCAGGGGGAGAGCCTCCCTCTGGCTGCATACTCCCTCCCCGCCTACCTTGCTTACCTCCTCTTCGCCCCACTCTACATCTCCGGGCCCATTGCCTCTTTCAACGCCTTCACCTCGCAGCTCGACACCCCGCAAAAGACAATGTCTGCCGCCCGCGTCGCCGTCTATGCCGTCCGGCTGGCGGCGTCGTTTCTCCTCATGGAGCTCATGATGCACTTCTGCTACTTCCAGGCACTTGCCAAGTCCGCCGGACCCTGGTTCTCGGAAGCTTCCCACAGCACGGGGGGCAATGACCTGGGGAGTGCCCTGTGGGGTCAAGAGGCCCCCGGGAATCTCGCTCTGGGGATGAGCATAGTGAGCTATGGCGTTCTTAACTTCATGTGGCTTAAGTTCTTCCTCATCTGGCGCTACTTCCGCCTCTGGGCGCTCGTGGCCGGGGTGGAAACCCCCGAGAACCTTCCGCGGTGCATCAACAACAACTACGACATTGAGGGGTTCTGGCGCGGGTGGCATGCGTCGTACAACAAGTGGATCGTGCGGTACCTGTACATTCCGCTGGGCGGCGGGAAGCGGAAGCTAGTGAACGTGTGGGTGGTGTTCACGTTTGTGGCGCTGTGGCATGACTTGGAGTGGAAGCTGCTGTGGTGGGCGTGGCTCACATCTCTGCTGCTCGCACCAGAGTTGATTGTCAAGACCATTGGCAACCTCAAGGCCATGCAGGTACGAGCCTTCCTTGCCTTGCTTTTGAGACGCCTCACAAGGTGGCTCACGTCTCTGCTGCTGGCGCCTGAGATGATCGTCAAAGCCACTGGCAACCTCAAGGCCCTGCAGGTGCGCGCCCTTGCTCGCTGCTGCCCTTGCTCACGCATGAAAACATGTTGCATAGGGAGAATTGCGCTCTGTGCCGATGCATGCCATGGCATGGGCCGCTCTGTGCTGTGCGTACAAGTCTATGTTCCAACCCCAACCACCCTTTCACCACCTTTACTCCCCTGTTCTCCTCCCTATCTCCTCTTTCTCCCGCTCTCCTTCCGCTTTCTTCTCTTTCCCACATCTTCCCTCTGTGTCGGCCTGCCCACAGGGCTTCCCCAGGTCATGGCTGTACGGCATGTGCGGTACAATAGCGGGGCCTTTCAATGTGTGCTTCATGCTGGTTGCTGAGGCGGGGCCTTTCAATGTGCGCTTCGTACAATAGCGGGGCCTTGCAATGTGCTGGGGCTCATGGCCGCCAACCCGATGGGCTTGTGCTCGTTGTCCAATGCACTCCTCACCCCCTCATCCTCTTTCAATCTTGTCACCCCACAGGGCTTCCGCAAGTCGTGGCTGTACCGCGAGTGCTGTGCAATAGCCGGCTCCATCAACGTGCTTGGTCTGATGACGGCCAACCTGGTGGGCTTTGTGGTGGGGCTGGACGGCGTGCGCGGCTTCCTCTCCAGCTTCCTCTCCGACCCCTTTCTTGTACTCGTTACAGTCTTCTCCATGTACGTTGGAGTGAAGCTCATGCTGGAGATTAGGGAAGGCGAGGCGCGGGCGAAGGCGAGGCAGAGTGTGGTGGGGGTGGAAGGGGCGGGGGAGGTGGTGAAGGTGGAGCAGGGGGTAACAGGTGGGATGGATAAGCACGGGCATCAGATGTGAGCAAACAGTGGGTCTGGCATGGGCATAGGAATGTGAGACTGACTTCAAATGTTAGCCAATGCATGACTGACTGCTGCAGTGGTGTGAGTTCTGGCTGGACACAAGATTGCTGAGCTCTTATCATTTTTGAGCTGTACGACATGTCTCATCTTCGCAGAGGTACCATGATTATCATCTTATTTTCTTTATTATAAAATCGTATCATTGCTGGTTGTGCCGCAGTCCAATGTGGCATCAATAGCTCTTGGTTTCTACGTGATTAGAGGTGTGGTTTAATGTCACGTATATATGTGACTGGTGGTATGAAGAGAATGTGAGAAGGAACTGTTTTTTGGAATATCGCTTCAATGTATAATTTGCGTAACACAAGTTGTAAATTGCAGCGTGTAGTGGACCACAATTTCAGCATGACTCCGTGACAATTGGACTGCCACTCGTCAGGCTTCCTCAAGCGTGACGCTTGCGCGAGTGGCCCGCAATACGGGAAGCCAATCAGCAGCGAGGACGACCGTTTCGCAAAATCCCGGCGAGCCACATCGCATGGCTATCCAGTAGCCGCGATACATCAGAAGGATTGCGGCGACTCGACTCTCAACCACTCCAGGCACATCAATCCTCAATCCCAATCCCAGACACTCCCTTGGAAGTGGGTTGCAGTAATACAAAAGGCACAAGCTTTCATCACTTCTCCAAGCTTCAGCAGCACTTCCAACACACACTTCAGTTCATTTACAAGCAGACAGAAATGGCTGCCCTCGCCAACGCCGCTGTTGCTCCCTCCACCTTCGTCGGCCAGAGCGCTGAGCTCGCCGCCAAGGTCAACAATGTGGAGGCTCGCATCTCCATGAGGAAGACGGCCAAGGCCGCCCCCGCCAGCTCCTTCTACGGCCCCGACCGCCCCCAGTTCCTGGGCCCCTTCTCCTCCCCCCCGTCGTACCTCAACGGCGAGTATGCCGGTGACTACGGGTGGGACACCGCCGGCCTGTCCGCCGACCCCGAGACGTTCGCCAAGAACCGCGAGCTGGAGGTGATCCACGCCCGCTGGGCTCTTCTCGGCGCCCTGGGCTGCCTGACCCCCGAGCTCCTGGCCAACAACGGCGTCGAGTTCGGCGAGGCCGTGTGGTTCAAGGCCGGTGCCCAGATCTTCTCCGAGGGCGGCCTCGACTACCTCGGCAACCCCGGCCTGATCCACGCCCAGTCCATCCTTGCCATCTGGGCCACCCAGGTCATCCTGATGGGCGCCGTTGAGAGCTACCGCGTGGGTGGCCTCGAGGGCTTCCAGGAGGTTGAGGACCCCCTGTACCCCGGCGGTGCGTTCGACCCCCTGGGTCTGGCTGACGACCCCGACGCTCTCGCCGAGCTGAAGGTGAAGGAGCTGAAGAACGGCCGCCTCGCCATGGTGTCGATGTTCGGATTCTTCGTCCAGGCCATCGTGACCGGCAAGGGTCCCCTTGAGAACCTGTCCGACCACCTGGCTGATCCCACCGTGAACAACGCCTGGGCCTATGCCACCAACTTCACCCCCGGCCAGTAAATGCTTGTGTTTTTGAAAAAAATATTAAAGTATATACGATTTTCCTAAATATTGCCAACCAACACTACTTGCGCAGTCACCAACCGAATGGTAACACATAAAATGTTCCGTTCGAAATATCAGAGATCTTCAGAACCACACGGACTGTCATTATCCAATCGTTATTTGGATTACATCCAGGGCTTCAGATTTCAGCGAAAAAGGCTGATTTGGTAAAAAAGGCTGAGATTTCAGGTTTTTTTTTAGAACCAGGGCTGATTTTTCAGCCTTTTTTGGAAAACACACAGGAAAAACTATGTGATTTCTAGTGTAAAATGGCATAATATGGCTGGTTTGTCTGATTTTCAGCTTATTCTTTTGGGCCTACTCTGAATTTTCAGACCAGCCCAAAACCAATCTGAGGCCCTGATTACATCGTCCCTAGTTACCACCGTCACATTCTGTTGGCGGGGGAGTGAGGTTGAGAAGATCTGAGGCAGGAAGAGGAAATGGGAGGCAGGATTGGGATGTAGGGAGGTGGGAAGGTGATGCTGGGAGCCTGGAAAGAAAAAATGGGAGGGCTAGGGTAGATGGGGAGGCAGAAAGGTGAGATGGTGAGGCGGGAACAGGAGATGGAGAGGCAGGATAGATGGGAAAGCAGGGAGCGGAGATGGGGAGGCATGGGGCAGGGGAGGGAGGGGTGGAGGCTTGATGCAGTGGTGATTTGCAGTGAGGCAATGCCACGAGGGAAGGCAAGGCAAGGAACAGGGAGGGGCGACGAGGCCGCAAGGTTAAGCCCGGCGAGGATGCTATGCTAGGCACGGTAGTTCGGGTTGGAGAAGTGTTTGAAGTGAGGGGTTGCATTGCTAGCCCTGCGATTGAAATTGGGTGAGCGGCCCAGCCCAATCCGGCCTGCCTTCGCACATTTGTGGAGAGGCAGGAGTGAGGTAGAGGCGAGAATGCCAGGGCTGGGTAGGGGATGCGCCAGGGGCCTAATGCTTTTGGCGAAATCATTCGACACACAAGTGAGGGCCACCGCAGGACCTCGTCGCTGTGAAGAAAATGGGTTAGGGATGTGATTGTGTAACTAGCTTCGGCAATCGCCTAAGATCTGGCTCTAGCCCTGCCAAGTGTTCAAGGAGCTTGAACAATTTCTTTTATTTTCTTTAATGAGTGGAGTTTTCAATACTACCGTAGTATTAAAGATGCCTGCTATTGCAAGATGAGTAGTCCTATTTGTTACGATGATTTCATATCAGCGACCGCTGTACTTGTGAGGGGGAAAGCCGTTTCCCGCCTTTCACAACCTTTCCCCGTGCCGCCTTGGCCTGGCTGGTCTGCTCTGGCAGGAGAAACTGGCAGGGAAGCAACGAAGCTTCTCCTTTTCCGAGCCTGTCGCCCCAGACAAGGACAGAACGCAAGCCGAGGGAGCTCGGTTCGGTAATGTCCATATCGGCCGCGTTGGTCATTCCCTCAATTCCGAGGCGCATTCGACATTCAATCAGCTCTGTCAAGGGCGACTCGACGGTAAAGTCTGTCCGAGCTTTCTCTGCGCATGTTTCATTGTACGGTAAACCAACTTCTTCCAACTCACATCTTCAACAAGCTTTTGCGCACTTTTTCTTACAAGATCTCAGCAGACGACTGTTCCTTGCTTCACAACACCAACGAGCTAGCTATTCAGCTGAAAATAACATATCTTTAGAGGCGTCCATCGTCTAGGCCCTCTGGGTGTCTCGTAAAATTCTCGTCCCTTGCGGCCATGGTCGAGCGTGGCTCGGTGGAGTAGCGAATATTTGCGGGTTGTTTTAGTTTAGAGCTCACGCCATGGAGCGGCGGCAGGTGCTGTGGATGGCAGTGGTGGTACCGGCGGTCCTCATGATTCTATGCCGCGAAACACCCCCGTGCGCTGCTCTTGATATATCTGGTGCGCAGCGCGGAATGCAATTCGTACGACTGAACCAGACCAACGTATACCACGGGAAATGCTTAGACGGAAGGTACGACTAAGTTTTTTTTCCCACAATCTTACGCACTTTGAGCAAACGCGACGGCGTAGCAGAGTTTAGTTGGACAGCACATGAGCCGTGAGAGGGCTACTGAAGCTTTAGAGCCCGTCGCCGAGCTCATCGCCACGCTGGCTGTGCGACGTGCGAGCGTCGCTGCGAGATCCACAGCGACGCATGAACCAGCATCTGCTGCAATCTCATCATTCGCCCCATCTCCTCTCCTCCTCACATTCCCCCATCTCCCTAAAAATGGATCCCGTGCGCGCAGCGAGCCGGGGTACTACATCCGCAAGGGCAACAAGCGCGGCGCTCAGAACTGGGTCGTGCACCTCATGGTATGCTGACGTCATGTCCAAATCAGCAGCCGTGCCTGGTCATCTGCTAACACCACCACCTCGTCTTCCACTGTCGCCATTCCATTCGTCAGTCGAGCCTCATTTCCGTGTAGTTTCGTCTCCTTGCCTCGCGCCGCATCCCATCCTTCCACCTGCCGGTCGCCGCCGCCTCCCATATCTGAGCCGCCTAGAGATGAGACTTTGCTTCTCAGTGCTACATTCTCCGCGTACGCCGCATTCCATCCGTCCGTATTGCTCATCGCATCACTGCGTCCGTATTCTCTGCGTCACTCATCGCATTCCGTCGTCACTCCTCTCATCCGCTGGATGGCATTCGACACTCCTCTCAGCTCTTCACCTTCCCCCCCCCCCCCTTCCCCCCAGGGCGGAAGCTGGTGCACGTCGCGGAGCCAGTGCATGGTGCGCGCGCAGACCAGCCTCGGCTCTACGCGCCTCTGGCCGGATCCCGGCTCCAAAAGCTTCTTCGCTAAAGTAAGCCCCGACATTTATGCTCCTTTGGAGTGAAGCCGCCAGGGCTTTAACGCGTTGTCTCCGTCCTCGTTACAGCAAGCCCCGATATGGTTATGATAGTAGTCAAACAAAGTCGCGAGAGACTTGATTTCGAACTTTGCCGTGCGTGCGCGACGGCGGCGGTGCGTGTGCGTGTGCCTGTGTGTGCGCGCAGATGAACGAGTTCGGAGCGGGGTTCGCGGGCATTCTGAGCCGCAAGGGGCGCGAGAACCCCACGTTCAACGATTGGAACGCCGTGCTTGTCGTCTATTGCGACGGCGGACTCTACGCCGGCGCGCGCGGCGCCTACACCGCCAATCTGACGAGCCCGTTCTTCCTCGAAGGCCACGCCTCGCTGGCCAGCGTCATTCACGGTACGCGCCGCTCGCGGTACGTGTGCTGACCACTCTTGCGCGCGCCATCCCTCTTTCCCCCGCTTCGCCGTTTGCTGAGCACTTCCCCCTCCCCTTCCCCTCCCACCCGCTCGCCATCCCCGCCATGCCCGCGCACAGATTTGCGGTTGCGCGGGCTGGGCTCCGCGCGCAACGTGCTGTTTAGCGGATGCTCCGCGGGCGCACAGGCCGTGGCGATGACGTGCGACGCCATGGCGCGCGCGCTGCCGTCCGCCTCTGTCAAGTGCCTCATGGACGCGGGATTCTTCCTCGGTGCGTGTGCTGTGTGCTGTGTGCTGTGCGCGCTGACCGTGCTGTGTGCGCTGAACGTCGCATTCCGTTGCTCCGTGTGTGCCTCCTGCTTGCTCGTTAGTGGCTTGTGAGGCGAGTCAAAGCCTCAGTCAAGTGCCTCAGGGACGCCGGATTCTTCCTCGGTGCGCACAGCTGTGCGTGCTGAACGTGCTCCGTCTGTGCTGCCTGCTTGCTGCGTGCTCACTTCCTCCCCGTGCGCCCTGCTGCTGTTGCCTGATGCCCCATGCCCCATGCCCCATCCGCCCCATCACTTCTCACCATGCCGCTTTCATTCTCCCCACCACCCCCCACCACCCTCCACCACCCCCCACCACCCTCCACCACCCCCCACCACCCCTCGCCACGCCCCGCGCAACAGACACGCCGGACATCCAGGGGCGGCTGACGTGGCGGCAGAGCGTGGAGCGGCTGTTCAAGTTCCACCGCATGGGGCTCGGCATTCCGCCCGCGTGCCGCCAAGGTGTGTGCGCGCGTGGCTACGTGTGCTTGCGTGAGCGTGGTTGCTTTGAGAATTCCACCGCATGGGGCAGGGCATTCCCCCCCGCCTGCCGCCAAGGTGCGTGTGCTTGCGGGCACCGGTCCCACCCCGCTGCGTGGGTCAGTGTGCGTGGTGGAACAGTTTGCTGCGGGCATGGCAGAACGTGGAGCGGCTGGCTATTCACGTTCCACCGCATGTGGGTCAGTGTGCATGTGGGTCAGTGTGCATGTGGGTCAGTGTGCGTGCGGGATGTGTGTGCTTGCTCCCACCCATCTTCAGGTCTCCTCAAAGGTCATCGCGCATGGGGCTAGGCATTCACCCCTCGCCTCCCCTCCACTCTCCAATGCCCCACACGTGTCCTTGCCACTCCCCCCTTTCCCCTCAGCCCACGCACAGCAGCCGTGGAAGTGTCTATTCCCACAGTACAACCTACCCTTCCTCCGCACGCCCCTTCCACGCTGCTGCTTGTCAAAATATCCTTGCCTGACCCCACGCTCAGCTTCCCCCCTCTCCCTCCCATTCCCACGGCTCTCCCTCCTCCCCTTCTCCTCCGTCCCCATTTCCCCACTTCCTTCCCGCCCCACACACAGCACACGCGCAGCAGCCGTGCAAGTGCCTGCTCCCGCAGTACAACCTGCCCTTCCTGCGCACGCCCCTGCTCGTCGTCAACAGCCTACAGGACGAGATAGCAGTCAAGATGACCTTGCCTTGCCCCACACTAGCCCCACCACCCTCTCTCCCACCCTCACGGCTCCTCCCCTCCTCACATTCTCCTCCCCCTCCATCTCCCCCGTTCCTCCCCCCCCCCCTTCCCCCCACTCAGCACACGCACAGGAACCCTGGAAGTGCCTCCTCCCGCAGTACAACCTGCCCTTCCTGCGCATGCCCCTCCTGGTCGTCAACAGCCTACAGGACGAGATAGCAGTCAAGATGACATTGCCTCCTTGCACTTGCCTTACCCCCACGCCCGCCTTTCCCCACCTCTCTCCCACCCTCACGGTTCCTTCCTTCCCTTCCTCCCTCCCTATCCCCTCCTCCCCTTCTCTCCCCCCTCTTCGTTTTCCCCTTTACCCCCAACACACAGCACACGCGCAGCAGCCATGGAAGTGCCAGCTTCCACAGTACAACCTGCCATTCCTCCGCACGCCGCTGCTCGTCGTCAACAGCCTACAGGACGAGATCCCCGCCCCCCTGCAACATACCATACCCCCACGCCCAGGTTCCCCATCTTCTCCCCCACCCTCACGGCACCTCCCCTCCCATTTCCCTCCTTTGTTTTCCCTCTCTCTCCCGCTTCCCCACACACAGCACATGCACAGGAGCCATGGAAGTGTCTCCTCCCGCAGTACAACCTGCCATTCCTCCGCACGCCGCTCATGGTCGTCAACAGCCTACAGGACGAGATCGCCGTCAAGATGACGTTCGCCCCGCCCCTCATCAACGGCTCCGTGCGCATCCAGAAGTGCATGGACAACAGCCCGCTCTGCCCCGCACCCTACCGCACCGCACTCCACCGCTACCAGGGCCGGCTGGCGCGCACCGTGCTGGGGATACAGCGGGTGAAGCGGCAGCAGGGCGTGTGGTTCGAGTCGTTTCTGATGAACTCTACGGCGCACTGTTCCGCGGTGTATGGGGAGTGGGTGGGCAAGGTGGACGTGCTGGGCAGGCAGCTGCCTAGGGTGGTGGAGGAGTGGTTCTTCCATGGGAAGGGTGGCGGGGCTGGGCGGACGGGTGGTGTGGGGGCGGGGAAGAGTGGAGTTGGGGCGGGGGCAGGTGGTGCGGACGTGGGGGCAGGAGGTGTGGGGAAAGGTGGTGCGGGGGCGGGTGGTGCGGGGGGGCCGGGCAAGGCAGGGGGAAGCAGCCCCACGAGACCAGCGGGGAGCAAAGGGGCGAGCAAAGGGGGGTGGGCGGGAGGGAGACAAGGGGGGGCGAAGCCAAAGGCTCCTGGCGTGCAGACAGGCAGTGCGGGCCCCGGGAAAGTAGTGCCCGGGACAGGGGGTGCTGGGAAAGTGCCCGGGACAGGGGGGGCTGATCAGATGGGCGCGGGGGGAAGCCAGGGCGGAGAGAAGGGCGCGGGGGGAGCAGCAGGGAAGGGGCAGCAGCAGCAGGGGGCAGGAAAGAGCGTTGTGAAGCAGCCTGGGACAGGCATAGGGAAGGGGCCTGGCGTGGGGGCAGGTGCAGGGGCAGGGGCAGGGAAGGCGCCGGGAGGGCAGAGAGGGGCGCTGTGGCCCGGTGTGAAGGGAGTGAGAGGCAAGGGGCGGGGTGGGCTGGCTGGGACGAGCAGTGAGGAGCAGGTGGGGGGCAGGTCGCATAGAGGAGGGGGGAAGAGTGGGATGAGGAAGAAGGGCGGGAAGGGGAAGGGCGGGAGGAAAGGGAGAAAGAGTGGGAAGAGGAGAGGAGGGACGAGTGGGAGGAAAGGAGGAGGGAAGAGTGCGGGGAGGGGAGTTGGTAGCAAAGAGGGGGGAAGGCGGAGCGAGGCACATAGCAGCGGGCCTGAAGCGGTGATAGTGACAGAGGAGTGTGGGGGCAGGGCAAGGCAGGAATGTTGAGCTGAGAAACAGTTGAGTGGCCCAGCGGGCGTGAGGCGGGCACTGGGAACGACGGGGGAGGCAGAGCGAGGCACATAGCAGTGGGCCTGAAGCGGTGATAGTGACAGAGGAGTGAGGGGGCAGGGCAAGGGACGAATGTTGAGCCCAGAAACAGTTGAGTGGCCGAGCGGGTGTGAGGCGGGTACTGGGAACGACGGGGGAGGCAGAGCGAGGCACATAGCAGTGGGCCTGAAGCGGTGATAGTGACAGAGGAGTGAGGGGGCAGGGCAAGGGACGAATGTTGAGCCCAGAAACAGTTGAGTGGCCGAGCGGGTGTGAGGCGGGTACTGGGAACGACGGGGGAGGCAGAGCGAGGCACATAGCAGTGGGCCTGAAGCGGTGATAGTGACAGAGGAGTGAGGGGGCAGGGCAAGGGACGAATGTTGAGCCCAGAAACAGTTGAGTGGCCGAGCGGGTGTGAGGCGGGCAGTGAGGAATGAGGGGGGGAGGATTGGTTGGGAGGATTGGTTGGGAGGATTGGTTGGGAGGATTGCTGGGAGATGCTGGGAGATGCTGGGGGATGCTGGGATGAAAGAAAACAATGCTGCGAAGGAAGGAATGGTGAGCCTGTGAACGATGCTGGGATGGAAGATACCGTAGCGGATCAGCGTCTGAGTGGGTGTGAGGCGGCCACGGCGTCAGTCATGTGCCTCCCAGCAACCTGTGCTCTCCCCCACCCAACCTCCTGCTGCTCCCCAAAAACCCTCAACACAACACACCCTGATGATTATGTAGTGCGACCAGCAACAACCACTAAGGTTGAATACAGATGCTAGGGCTAGGAGAGAGATGTTATGTGTGCCTGATTTGTATGTACATGAAAATCTGAAGTGCAGGTAACAGCGCAAAACGTTTGTTGCTAAGCAGCCATGGTGAGTGCCTTGCCTACCGACCATGATGGAAGCACAAAACGATCCCCTGTGGTTCCACCAGCCATACAATTGGCCAGTGTTTGTGCGAAACACATAATAACAGCAACCTATTAACACCTACCATAACAGCTACCTATACACACTAAGTCCCAGCAGCTGCGGCAGCAGCAGCGGGCAGGGCGGCGTGGATTGTCTTGTAGCAGTGCAGGGAGCAGAGCGGCATGCACGTCTTGGAGTCGCGATAGCGGAAGGGGTTGCGGCACCCCGGCGCTGCACACAGGGGGCGAGGGGGCGGGCTGGGGTGTGGGAGAGTGGGGAGAGCGGGAGAGGAGGTTAGGGGTTGGGGAAGGATAGTTGGGGAAGGGATTGTGGCACCCTGCTGCTGCACACAGGGGGCGAGGGGGCGGGCTGGGGGATGGGGGAGGGGGGAGAGCGGGAGAGGAGGTTAGGGGCTGGGGAAGAATAGTTGGGGAAGGAGTTGCGGCACCCCGTTGCTCCACAGAGGGCGTGACGGGGCGGGCTGGGGTGTGAGAGAAGTAGGGGGGGTGTGTGGGAAGGAGGCTAGGGGTTGGGGAGGATAGTTGCGGAGGGATTGCGGCACCCCGCTGCCACACAGAGGGGGCAAGGAGGGGGGAGGTGGGTAGCAGGGGCAGATGGGTGGGGGGTCGGGGGTTGGCAGAGGAGGACAGTAACGGACCCACCCTAGTGCCACACACAGGGGCGAGAGGGGGGGCTGTGGGGCAACAAGGTGACTTTTGAGTGACAAGGCAACAAGGGCAGCAAAGCAGCAGAGCAGCAGAGCAGCAGGAGGGCACATGGATGGATTGAAGCGAGTGGTGGAATGAACACAGCAGCGCACAAGGCTCACGAGGGCAGCGGGATGAAGAGAGCTGGATTGGAGGAAGCAGGGACGACGGTCCCACAGGGGCAGTAGGGATGGGGGCATGAAGGAAGCAAGCAGAAAAGAAGCACCAACTCACATGGGCAGGGGCGGCTGGGGGCGGAACATGGCGGGCTGCTGGGAGTCGGGCGACCATGCCACCGTCACACCATCTGCTGTGAATCGCATTCGCACAAAGCCAGGTGGCGGCACCTGACTGGCTGCCAACCGCTCCTGCATGTGTGGGGCAAGGAGAGAAGAGGGGCAAATGCTTGGTAAGCTGCAGCATAGTAGTTGCTCATAGATAGGAGATGGGCAAGCAGAGCGATGTGAGAGGCAGGCAGGCAGCAGGAAATGGTGCCACCTGTTCCCTCATTCCCACACGTGCCCCCTTCCAACCCACCCTCAGCCTGTTCCTGTCACCGCTTTCGCATTTATTGCTCCCACCCACTGGACCCTCTCTCCCCAATTCCCATTTCGTCTCCTCTCACCCCTTCCCATCCTCTCCCCCCACTCAACCCCCACCCACCTCAGCCTCCTCCTGGCGCTTCTTCAAAATCTTCTGCTCCCTCCTCTTCCTCGACCCGTCCTGCCCGAGAATCTTCTGGATCGCGTTCTCCTGGACGGCGCGTGCCGCCCGCTCCGACTGCTGCTTGCGGCGCCGGGAGGCCTCCTCGCGCTTCAGCTGCCGCGCCGCCTCCACCTCCGCTGCCGCCCGGGCGGCGTGGGCGGCGGAGGACGGCGAGGAGGGCGCTGGGAGCTTCATGCTGCGCCGGCTGCGACGTGGGGCTGGGGGAATGGGGGGGGATGGTGGAGATGGGTGGGGATAGGGGAGGGAAGGGAAGGGGGGGAGGGAGTATTTTGAGGCGCCTCAAAACACACCTCAATGCTCCGGGCGCTGGGAGCTTCATGCTGCGCCGGCTGCGACGTGGGGCTGGGGGGTGGGGATGGGGGGTGGGGATGGGGGGTGGGGATGGGGGGTGGGGATGGGGGGTGGGGATGGGCGGCCAGAGAGGAGTTGGAGGGAGGGAAGAGAAGGGAGAGAAGGGAGTGAGTGAGGGAGGGAGGAGGAACGGGGGGGGAGGAAGTGAGGGAGGCACAGGGTTCCTAAGGGGCTCAGCAGATGGCGGCGAAATGGAGAAGGGGAGAGAGAAACAAGAACGCACACATACCGGTTGTCTGATCCGCTTGTAGCGAGTCACCTTGTAAGGGGTCCAAGGCGAAGTCATGGTGAGCAGCAGTGTCCCTTGGACTCTCCTTGCCTGCTGCCGCTGCTGCTGCTGCTGATGCTTCCCCCTGCTGCGACCCCCCACTCTCATACACCACGTCCCCCTCCCCCTCCTCCCCCTCCTCCCCCTCGCCCTCCTCCGCAACCCCCACACTCTTCGCATCCCCCTCCTCCTCCTCTTCCTCCTCGTCCTCCTCACCCACCTCCACCCCCGCTTCCTCCTCTTCCTCCTCTTCTCTTGCTTCAGGTTCTTCCTCCCCCCTTCCCTCCTCCCCCTCAGTACCATCCTCTACCACCTCCACCCCCTCCTCCTCACCTCCGCCCTCCTCCCTCCCCCCTCCGTCAGCCTCCCTCCTCTCCTCCCCCTTCAAATCCAAAATCCTCCTTCTCTTTCTCTTTGACCTTCCATTCCCACCCTCACCCTCCTCCTCCACTTCCTCCTCCTCCTCTTCCCTCTCATCTTCCTCCCTCTCTTCCTCCTCGCCCACCTCCCCCACTGCTTTGTGTCTCGCACTTTCACCCTCACCCACCCCCCTCTCCTCCTCCTCCTCCTCCTCCTCCCCTCTTACTCTCAGCCCAACAGCAGCGCCACCAGCAGCAGCATCCTCCTCGTCCTCTTCGTCTGAGTTATCCTGCATGCATGGCATCACCACCAGAAAGGGGGGAAGAAGCGAGGCGAGGGAACGTTTGAGTCGACTAAAAAGTCACCACCACCAGCACCAGCATCCTCCTCGTCCTCTTCGTCTGAGTTATCCTGCTTGCATGGCATCACCAGAAGAGGGGGGCAGAAGCGAGGGCGAGTGGGGGAGAGGGGAAGAGAGCAGCAAGAGGTGAGAGCAGCAAGAGGTAGAGAGCAGCAAGAGGTAGAGAGCAGCAAGAGGTAGAGAGCAGCAAGAGGTAGAGAGCAGCAAGAGGTAGAGAGCAGTGCAAACAACGCGTGCAGGGCAAGCAGCACGTGCCATACACCCATGCCCTGAGGTGTAATTTCCCATGCCCCCATGCCCCCCCTCACCTGAAGAATGAGTCGGTGTCGCCTCTTTCTCTCCCCCCCTCCACTCTCCGCTCCCCCCCCTGCCCCTCCCCCCGCCCCCCCTGCCCTTCCCTTGGAGCGCGGAACCTTGAGCACTTGAGCGCCTGTGGAAGGGGGGAGGGGAGAAGGGGGGGGTGGTAAGGAGGGGCACCAGAAGACAGTTGAAATTAGTTGGTTTCGAACCGCAGCAAGCCTACTAAGAGTTTACGAACGATCTATAGAGCTAATTCCACTAATCTGAAAAGGCGAGGGAAGTCGTAAGCAAAGGTCTATTAGTGAGAACGCCAGACACATAGGCCCGGATGTCGCGTGCGAACGCGTTTTGGCCAACTAAGGCCTTCATCAGCGCACCTTCTCTCACCTCTGCTCACCTTCTCTCACCTCTGCTCACCTTTCTGTCATCTTCGTCTCCCATCCCCTCCTCTGCACTGCATGAGTATTTTCCAGACTAAACTTGAATAAGCACTTCAAACAAACCTGAAGAAGCACCTGAGACCCACCTGAAGAAGCACCTGAGACCGACCTGAAGAAGCACCTGACAGCTTCAGCCTCAGCTTGCGCAGCCCAGCCTCCTGAGCCTCGCCTGCCGCCTCCTCCCCTCCCTTACCGCCCAACCCATCCCCTACCTTAGCCCCCAACCCATCTACCTTAACAGCCGACCCCTCCCCTCCCCCCACCCCCGCCCCCTCGCCGCCCTGAACCCCTTCCCCGCCACCCGCCCCCCCTTGCGCGCCCTCCTGCGCGGCCTCCGCCGCGCCCACCCGCTCCTCGCGCCCCCGCGCGCCCGCCCTCTCGCGGCGCCGGTCGCTGCGCTCGCCCTTGCCGCCCGTCAGCGCCTTGAGCGACTCCAGCCGCGCGCTCCGCCTCTCCCGCTCGCGCTCCCGCTCCTCCCGCTCCCTCTCCTCCCTCTCCCGCTCCTCTCGCTCCCGTTCCTCCCGTTCCCTGTCTTTCTCTCTGCCCCTCTCCTTATCCCGGTGCCGATCCTTGCTCTTCCCTTTCTCCCTGTCGCGCTCTCTGTCCCTCTCCCTGTGCCTCTCCCCATCCCGCTCCTTCTCCCCCTCCTTCTCACGCTCCCTCTCTTTGCGACCTCTATCCCTATCCCTATCTCTATCCTTACCCCTATCCTTGTCCCTATCTCTATCCTTATGTCGATCCCGATCTTTCTCCCTATCCCTATCCCTGTCCCTGTCTCTATCCCTGTCCTTTCCTCTCTCCCTGCGATCGTCTTTCTCCCCGTCATGCTCTCGATCCTTCCTTCTCTCCCGATCGCTTCCGGACCTATCCCTCTCCTTCGGCCCGAGCCTGTCTCCATCCTTTTCCGCCGCTCTGCCCCACTCCCTCTCCCGCTCCTTCCCCTCATCCCGCCTCCGCTTCCCCTCGCTCCGCCCTTCGCGCCCTTTCCCGTGCTCCTCCCTTCCCCTATCGCGCTCATCGCCGCTCGAACCGCTTCCCGCGGAGTGCGGGGGGGACTGGTGGTGGTGGGGATGGTGGTGGTGGTGGCGGTGGTGGTGCCGGTCGTGCCCGTGTCGCGATCGTCGCTCGTCTCCGCGCGCACGCCGCGCTGAATCGCGGCCGTCATCCGACTCCTCCATCCCCGCTACTACAAGCTACCGATACAGACAGCGCCGAAAACCGACAAGCTCTCCTGCCGGCTCGGATATCGCGAAGGCTATTTCCAGTAAGGTTACGTTGTGGAGTTTACTCGAGGATTTCATATGTGTAACAAATGGAGTTGAGGAGGAACCGACTTTAGAGTGGAATGATAATTTCTTCGTCATTTAGATTCAGCTCGTGTACACCGAGAGAGACACCCTTTAGCGCGTATGAATTGGACGAAAGCCGTATTCCTGGCGAAGGGTGAGCCTGGGTTGCTGTAACCGAAATTCCAGTTTTGGCAATAACGATTGGCCAATCAAGACGGCCGAATCAAAACGGCAAATCCTTCACGACTTCCTCGTGCAGTAACCGACGTAACTAGCGATCTCTCCCGAACCCCCCAACGAAACCGCTGCTGACGCTGACGTCGGGCAATTATTTTGTCGTTGGTGGGTGGTAGGTGGCTCCCATATTTTCTACACTTGCGCACTGTAGTAAGTGCACTGTTACAGTGTGCAGGTTTCCTTGTTTCCCAAATCCCGATTCCCGATGACCGCACCGCACCCATAGATTTTGCCTGGGCGCAGGCGTGCGGAGCGGAGCCAACCTTGAGATTTTCCTTTCCTCCCTTGTTCAAGCGCACCCACCCACCACAGCTGCCTGCTCTGCTCGGGTGCCTCTAACCACATGCACATCCGTATAGATTTCCAAAATTGTTATCTCCATATCCAAGTTCCAAGTTACGGCTCAATATCGCCATTCTCTTGTCGAATTTACCGTCTTTGTTCCCAGTTAGCGAGTCTGCTCCCACCGATAAGAGAACCTTCTGCTTGTTTCTCCCCGTTCGCCTTAAGCCGCGACTGCGCCTCCTCGCGGACTGCGCCACTCCGCGCACTGCGCCCCGGCGCGCGCATGACGACGCCATTCACATCCTCCCGATTCCCCCTCCTCCCCCTTCTCCTCGCCCTCCTGCTTCATGCCGTTCTCCTCTCCCACCATCTCGCGTCGGCCGCTATCGCCACCGTAGGCGGTCGCACAATGATTGGCGACGCAATCGTCGCAGGAAATTCACACAGGCGACGGTTAGAGGGCCCGCTGGTGTCGCACGGTCCGTTCCACCGGCGGCTGTGGAACCCGTTCGGCGGGTTCAAGAAGCCAACCAAGAAACCGCCGCCTAAGACCGGCGGGGCGGGCAAGCAGTCCGGTGAGCCACTGCGCCCTGCGGTAGCGCACGTGCGCCGCGCCTTTCGGCCCTTTCGCTGCGTGTTCCCGGAGGAGCGGATCCGTCCCCCCTTCTCCCGATTTTCCGCTCATCCCAGTCCTCTCATTCTTTTCCACTCATTCCCATCCGCCCATTCCCCTCCGCTCTTCCCCCTCCGCTCTCCGTTCCCCTTCCGTCCGCCCGTCCGCGCTCGCCGGCACAGCTGCCGTGGCGTGCGAGGGCGTGCAGTGCCCGCAAGGCGCGGCGTGCGTCGCGGACGGCAACGGCTTCCCCTTCTGCAAGTGCGATGGGACCCTCGCGCTGATCAACGGCTCGTGTGTGCCAGGTGAGATCAACGGCTCGTGCTCCCAATGCTTCTTCCCCAAACCCCCCCGTTGCTCGTAACAACCACCTCTCGCTCTTCCCCCCAACCCTGCCTCCTCCCCTCCCCATCCCCCGCATTCAGCTCACTCCCCTTCCCCTCCCCTTCCCCCCTTACCCTTCCCCATTTCCCCCCGCCCCCTCCGCCCCGCCAGCCGTGGACGGGCAGGTGGTGGCGACGAGCGTGCTGCTATTCGCCTCCGCCGATTTCGCCCCCGCGCCGCCCGCTGTGCTGCGCGGCGCCATCCCGAACCGCACATGCGTAAACCTGCCCGCGTCGCACGCGGGCAACATCGGGTCGCTGCGCATCCTGTGGAGCGTGAAGGACGGCAGCAGCGGCGCGAGCCGCGTGGTGTGCGGGAAGGTGTTCTTCTGGGACCAGCCCGACTGCTGCTGCTCGGGGTCAGGCTGGGAGGTGCCGGGCGGGTGGAAGGCCGCGAGTGCCGCCAAGACCAACTACGCGCCCACCAGCATTCAGTGAGTCCGCCGCACTTCGGCTGTGCTGCCGCCACACTGTTATTGAGTCGACTCAAAACCAGCTGTTCCGCCTCCACTGTCCGCCGCACTGCAGCTGTGCTGCCTCCACACCACACTGTTCTGTTGCCCTGTACTTCCTTTGTCAGTGCTGACCACTGTGCCCCATGCCACCACCATAACCTGCTCTCCTTCGCCCACTCCCCCTCGTCTCCTCCTTGGCCCACGTCCCTCTCCCTCGCCTCATCAGAGTGACGGGAGGGGTGGTGGCGGGAGCAAAGTCCATGTCGTGCCAGGCCTTTGCCGACCCTGCTAGCACCACAGAGCCTGGCACAGGCGTGCCCACCGGCACCGGCAACAACGGGGGCTCTGGCAGCACTGGAAGCACGGGCGGCAGCACGGGCGGCAGTACCGGCGGCAGTGGGGCGTGTAAGGAGACGGTGTGTCCGGCCAACTCGGTGTGTGTGGCGCAGGTCTCTGGTGCCACGTGTAACTGCGTGGTTGGCTACGCCAAGGTCAACGGGCAGTGCCAGGGTGAGCAGCATTGGGGCATGATATGGTATGGATGGTGATAGTAGTGCCTTTTGAGTCGACTCAAAAGTCACCTCAGTGCCAGGGTGAGCAGCATTGGGGCATGATATGGTATGGATGGTGATAGTAGTGCTCTCCGTTGTGCCACTGACATTGCTAAAGCGCCTCCGCCCTCCAACACTGCATCGCCTCTTCTCATTCCCATTCTCATTCTCTCCCTCCTCCTCCTCCTCGTTCCTTCCCCTGGCGCCCACTCAGATTTGCCTTCTTTCTCCCTCCCGTCTCCCCGCTTCCCCTCCCTCCCTCCTCTCCCCACCCCCTGTATCCTATCCCTCCCTTTACCAGCGATGGACATTTGCTCGATTGTCTCCTGCCCGGCCAACTGCACCTGCTCCTCTTCCGCTGGCATTGCCAAGTGCTCCTGCCCAGGTGATAAAAAACATTGGAGAGGTTTGACATTGGTGCTTACAAGATCCTTACAGGTGCTAACTGGTGTGCAGGTTATCAGTAGTTCTGCCAGTCTACTTCCTCGCCTTCCCCCTCCTCACTCCCGTTCCCCACACCCCTTCCCACATCCCACCCACTCCTCCCCCCCCGTTCCCCTTTGCTCTCCAGACCGGTGCTACGGCGTCACGTGTCCACCCCTCACACCCCTATTTCCCACGTACCACCCACCCCCTCCCCCCTCTCTCCCTCCGCTCGCCAGACCGATGCTACGGCGTCACGTGCCCCGACGTGTCCACGTGTGTGGTGCAGAGCGGCACGCCCGTGTGCAAGTGCCCCGCGCCCTACACGCGCCTCATCGACAACAAGTGCTCCTCGGCTGCCCTCCCCAACTCCGACTACCTCAATGTTCACAACAACGCCCGCGCTGCTGTTGGGGCCGTGCCGCTCGTGTGGGACGATGCATGTGAGTGCTGTTGTGAGGAGAGTGACGCATGCATGCATGCATGCATGTGAGTGTGGGACGATGAGTGTATGGTTGTGCTGCCTCTGGGGCGACTGCAATCGCCTCAACTAACGCCCTCGCCACTGCTCGTTCGTTCATGTAACAACCACCGCGCCTTTCCGCTCAGGGCCTCTCCCCCCCCACCTCGTCCCCCCACTCTCCTCTCCTCACCCTCAGTGGCTGCCCACGCGCTGGCGTGGGCAACAGCGCTGACCAACAGCACGTACAACTGCGGGCTGTCGCACGGCGGCAACAGCGGCGAGGGGCAGAACCTCTCGGGCGCCAGCCCCTCCGGGTGGGCCTCGAATGCCGCAGCGGCGAGCTGGTGGGTGAACGAGGGGCAGTGGTACTCCGTGGCTGTGTTCCCCGACGGCTGTGCGGGGGGGAACTGGGCCAAGTGTGGGCACTACACGCAGGTGGTGTGGAACAACTCGAAGAAGCTGGGCTGTGCCAAGGCGTCGTGCGGCACGAGTGGGGACGTGTGGGCGTGCCACTACTACCCGCCGGGGAACTACGGCGGCCAAGTGCCCTATGGTCAGTGCTGTGGGTTACTGCTGCTGCTGCTGCATTGGCTGTGCTGTGCGGAGTAGTGCTGTACCCATTGCACATGCTTATTACTCTAGGTTGTCACCCCTCGCTCCTCTCTCAGCGCAACCACACCACGACTCACATCCTTTCCCTTCTCCACCCCCTCCCCCCACATCTTGCCCTCTCCTCCACCCCTTTTCCCCTTCCCCTCTCCCTCGCCCCCACCTCTGCAGTGCAAGACCCGTGCTTCCGAGTGCTGTGCCCCTCCACCTCCACGTGCTCAGCAGTGGCCGGCAAGCCCGTGTGTGCCTGTGCTGCGGGGCAGGTGCTGGTTAACAACGCGCAGTGCCAACCAGGTGCCGCCCCTACCCGCCCCCACACCCTCCTCCCACGGCGCATGCACTCACACCGCATGCACTCCCACCGCATGCATTCCCACCGCATGCACTCCCACCGCATGCACTCCCACCGCATGCACTCCCACCGCATGCACTCCCACCGCATGCACTCCCACCGCATGCACTCCCACCGCATGCACTCCCCCCGCATGCACTCCCGCCGCATGCACTCCCACCGCATGCACTCCCACCGCATGCACTCTCACCGCATGCACTCCCCCCGCATGCACTCCCACCGCATGCCGCCATGATCACTCCATTCCCCTCGTGCGCCTCCCACGTCCCCATCATTCCCCTCATGCGCCTCCCACGTCCCCATCATTCCCCTTGCTGCCTCTCCCATCGCACCACGACTCGCTTCACACCACGCCAAGCCTATAAAAGCTCTCAGTCGCCCTCACACCCTCCCTCGTACCCCCTTGCCCTGCCACTCCCCCCCACTTCCCCCCTGCCAGACCCGTGCAAGGGAGTGAGCTGTCCGGCTGGCGACCTGGTGTGTGACGGCAGCACGGGCACGGCACAGTGTGTGTGCCCCAAGGGGCTGCTGCTCGTTGCCCCCAACACGTGCCTGGGTGAGTGTGCTGTGCCTCACTGCCACCAGTTTCTCTCCTCGCCTGCACCTCACCCTGTCTCGTCCACTCGCTGCTCTGCTGCCTCCTTTCGTTGTGCCTCCACCATCTGCACCCCTCTTCACCCTTCCTCATACCGCAACGACTCTTATCACCCCTCCTCACCCCTTGTCACCCCTCTGCAGCACCGGTATGTGTGGGGGTGGAGTGCCCCTCAACGTCTCGCTGCAAGGCCAGCAGCGGCAGTATCCCCTTCTGTGCCTGCCCCGCCTCCTACTCCCTCGTCAATGGCACCTGCACTCAAGGTACTCGTTATAAGCACATTCAGAATAAAAGTTCTTTACCTGCGCATGTGATGTCCAGATCACCAGTATCGAGCACTGTATAACCTGCCACACTCCTCTCTCAAAACAACTCTGTCCAAAAGCGCTTCCTCTGTCGCACTTACCTTCTCCCACCGCACTCTTACTCCCCTCCCTCCCTCCCTCCCTCCCTCCCCCTCCCCCACTGCGCCCCCACAGCCGCCCCTGCCACAGTGACGTCCAGCCTGGTGCTCTACAACGCGCCTTCCTTCACCAACTCACCCGCCTCCCTCGCCCCCACCGTGCTCCGAGCCGCCACGCCCGGAGCGGGCTGCGTCAACATCCCGGCGGCCCTCGCAGGGGCGGTGGGGTCGCTGCAGATCCTGTGGGACGTGCCGGACGGGGCGGCGGGAGTGCGGCAGGTGTGCCGCCTGATGTGGTTCTGGAACGGGGCCAACTGCTATGGCCACGCCACCGGGTGGGGGCGCCCTGGCAACAATGTCACCACCGCTTCGTGAGTACCTCTTGTCTGCGCTTCTGCCTCTGCACCCTCTTCCCCCTTAGCTTGCCCCTCCGCCGTCCTCTGGGCTTGCCCTTGGATACCCTGTTTGCTGACTGCTGGTTGCTGCTGTCTGTGCGTGTGCTCTCCAGGACCACGAGTGGTGACGTGGCAGCACTGCGAGCTATCAGCTGCGCGGCTTGAGGAAGAGACGAGCAGTGCTGCCTATAGAGCAGAGCAGCAACAGTGGTCTAGTGTGGAGGGTAGGACTCGGACCCATCATATTGGGATGTGGACGTCATTCTTTCCATTTATTGTAATTTATTTATATGTTATATATGCCATATAGTCAATGTTACTTGAGCAGCTGTGCCTGCAACATTTGATTCTGCCTATGCTGAGCAGTTCGTTTACAATCACACTTGTATAGAGTGCGACAGCCTGTAGTGTGTATACATCATACAGTGTAGAGTGTTGGAAACAAGTAGTTCTAAGCGCCTCTGTCGTGTCGAAACACCAAGTCAGAAGCGAAGCAAAGCATATCGAAACACCGGCGAGTCAACCCTCGGAGGTTGAGCAGTTGCTGGAGGTTACACGAAAGTCAAAGGTCAGCGACCTTTGACCTGACAAGTACAGCACGACAGCAAGGACACACAACTGACTCGCTACAGAGCAGTTGCCCGAGTCGTCACTGTATCGAACCGCAACAGCAACA